GCGGGGTGGGTGGGGTGGGGCTTGTCTTGATCATGGGATTATGACAAGCGGCTGGGAAGGGCGGGATGGGGGGGGGGCTTGTCTTGATCATGGGATTATGACAAGCGGCTGGGAAGGGCAGGCGGGGTGGGGGGGGGGCTTGTCTTGATCATGGGATTATGACAAGCGGCTGGGAAGGGTGGGTGGGGTGGGGCTTGTCTTGATCATGGGATTATGACAAGCGGCTGGGAAGGGCGGGGTGGGGGGGGGGGCTTGTCTTGATCATGGGATTATGACAAGCGGCTGGGAAGGGCAGGCGGGGTGGGGGGGGCTTGTCTTGATCATGGGATTATGACAAGCGGCTGGGAAGGGCGGGGTGGGTGGGGTGGGGGCTTGTCTTGATCATGGGATTATGACAAGCGGCTGGGAAGGGCGGGATGGGGGGGGGCTTGTCTTGATCATGGGGTTATGACAAGCGGCTGGGAAGGGCGGGGTGGGGGAGGGCTTGTCTTGATCATGAGATTATGACAAGCGGCTGGGAAGGGTGGGTGGGGTGGGGCTTGTCTTGATCATGGGATTATGACAAGCGGCTGGGAAGGGCGGGATGGGGGGGGGGCTTGTCTTGATCATGGGGTTATGACAAGCGGCTGGGAAGGGCGGGGTGGGGGAGGGCTTGTCTTGATCATGGGATTATGACAAGCGGCTGGGAAGGGCGGGGTGGGGGGGGGCTTGTCTTGATCATGGGATTATGACAAGCGGCTGGGAAGGGCGGGGTGGGTGGGGTGGGGGCTTGTCTTGATCATGGGATTATGACAAGCGGCTGGGAAGGGCGGGATGGGGGGGGGGCTTGTCTTGATCATGGGATTATGACAAGCGGCTGGGAAGGGTGGGTGGGGTGGGGCTTGTCTTGATCATGGGATTATGACAAGCGGCTGGGAAGGGCGGGATGGGGGGGGGCTTGTCTTGATCATGGGATTATGACAAGCGGCTGGGAAGGGCAGGCGGGGTGGGGGGCTTGTCTTGATCATGGGATTATGACAAGCGGCTGGGAAGGGCGGGGTGGGTGGGGTGGGGGCTTGTCTTGATCATGGGATTATGACAAGCGGCTGGGAAGGGCGGGATGGGGGGGGGCTTGTCTTGATCATGGGGTTATGACAAGCGGCTGGGAAGGGAGGGGTGGGGGAGGGCTTGTCTTGATCATGAGATTATGACAAGCGGCTGGGAAGGGCGGGGTGGGTGGGGTGGGGGCTTGTCTTGATCATGGGATTATGACAAGCGGCTGGGAAGGGCGGGATGGGGGGGGGCTTGTCTTGATCATGGGATTATGACAAGCGGCTGGGAAGGGCGGAGTGGGGGGGGGGGGGGCTTGTCTTGATCATGGGATTATGACAAGCGGCTGGGAAGGGTGGGTGGGGGGGGGGACTTGTCATGATCATGGGATTATGACAAGCGGCTGGGAAGGGCGGAGTGGGGGGGGGGGCTTGTTTTGATCATGGGATTATGAAAAGCGGCTGGGAAGGGCGGAGTGGGGGGTGGGCTTGTCTTGATTATGGGATGTTGACAAGCGGCTGGGAAGGGCGGGGTGGGGGGGGGCTTGTTGTGATCATGGGATTATGACAAGCGGCTGGGAAGGGCGGAGTGGGGGGTGGGCTTGTCTTGATCATGGGATTATGACAAGCGGCTGGGAAGGGCGGGGTGGGGGGGGGACTGCCAATGCCCACATTTTTGCCTGAAACATCACAGAGTATTGAGGTACTCATCACTCATAATCCTTTGAACTTTCTGTCCTTGTACATTGACAAATTCCTGTAAAGTTACGCAAAGAGACACCTCTTCAATGTTGATATATGGAAAACAATGATTTTTTTGAAGAAAAAATCATCACACAAATCATTTTTTTTTAAACTTAAAATTGTGATGTTGATTAATCCGAATTCCCTTTAAACAGGTATCGAAATTTAGATAATTTTTTTTTCACATGACACAAAATTTATGGTGGTTCAAGGATGACTCAAGAAAACTATTTACAAAATACTTTTTTCATCAAAAGGGCCGCTTTTTTGGACGCGCCTTCCGATTTAGAGTTGTTCGCTACATATATATATATATATATATATATATATCTTTTAACGATCACTTTGTCTTCACTTTCCGGGCACTCTCAAATTTATGCCTCAATATTTATCAACTATATGGTAGCATGGCGTTCATAAATTCTTAATTTACGTCGTATTTTTTTCATGAGCAAATAATAAAACCGTAATATCATCTCATTTTTTCCCAATCTTGACGATTAATGTTCAATTACTCTTGAAATGTTTTCGCGATGAAATATTTATGCTTTTATGTATTTGCTGAAGGATGATATATCTAAGGTATAAAAATTCGAGAAGAAATATAACTCGTTATCTCTGAACTGGAGGAATCATTTCGTAAGATATTGGCAACAGTTGAGAAAGCATCATTTCAGCAGCTGCGGTCTGTGCTTAAGTGTGTCCATCGATGGAATAGAATTTCAATCAAGATCAAGTTCATCCTCACGTCTTCAAGGAACACAAAGACCATTCGCAGAAAAGATGGAAGAAAGTAAATATCTAATTGACACCACCTTTGGCGCATTGGACTACGTCATTTTGGCGGGATCGTTGGCCATATCGGCCGGCATCGGGGTCTACCATGCCTGCGTCGGTGGACGTCAATCGACCACGGAAGAATTCCTGATGGCCGATCGTAACATGAACCCGATCCCCGTCGCGCTGTCGTTGGTCGCTAGCTTCATATCCGCTGTCACTGTCCTGGGGACGCCAGCAGAGACGTACATCTATGGCTCCATGTACTGGGTGTACGGGTTCGCCTATATCTTTGTTGGGTTTACCACAGGGTCGTTCTTTATCCCGATCTTTTACAAAATCGGCGGTAAGAGTGCGAATCAGGTGAGTAAAAGAACATATATAGAATCCTTTTCTAATCGATAGTTTTAATGTAATAATATAAAACAAAAGATCAGAATGTGTATATAGTGACTACTCGGAAGGGAAAGCCGATAATAAAATGGCAGACTATCACTCACTAGACTTCTGGTTCTGAAAAAGTGGGCTGCCGAAAATATCAAGGAAAATCAAAAAAAGAAAATAGTGCTTTAGTTCATCTTCATGCTATGTCTCCAAAGAATTTTTTGAATCGCAACATTTTACATAGTAATTATTTGTTTCCTTGGGGTAACACTTATGACATAGAAAACAATCATTATTGTTTATAATGATTTAGCACGAGGAGGGTCATTTGAAAATGTTCCTCTACCCAAGATAGACGGTTAGTATAGCTCGCACTTTAATTTTAGATATTTTAAGCATTTAATCTCCACAATTGAAGACAAGTCGACAAGACGTACTCTAAATTTGATATCATTGAAAGTAAAACTTTAATGGTTCTAAAATGCTCAAAACAATATTGTAAGGTTTGAGGGATTTAATGCTTTATTTGTTGTTGTTTTTTTCTCATAAGGAAGGCTAACAAATTATACTTTCAAAATGAGCCTCTCAGAATAATTCATTTTACTTGTTTTCATCTTTTTTCTCGTTTCATTTTATTTGTCGAGCTTCTCTATATATAACATCAAATTATAGTATATGTGGTAGAAAAGACAAGTAAAATAAACAGAAAAGGTGTAAAACACAAGAAAATAATAAATAACTTGGCAGGATGGCCCATGAAAGCTCGAGAGCTTATTTATTAGACACCAATGTCAGACAGTGTAAGAGGACTCATTTATTTTAATAATTGTTCATTGTTCAAATTTTATTTTATAATTGAAAGAATCATGATTTCCTTGATGTTCTCTTCACATTGTGCCAAAATTGAGCTAATGGTTTGCTCTGAAATCGACCAACACCTTTGTTGAGCTTTGCGATTTTTCTCAATCGATACCAAATGTAGGTTGGAAATAAGTGGCTGGGATATGAACTTCCTGGGTCGATTGTTTTTTTATACACCAAATGTATGACTGTTTTAATATTATATCCCAAAGAAAATCCTTATCCTTTCAGAGATCGTCCTTTTCACCCAAAAGCGCAGTGGTGTAATGAGCCACAAGTTTTGAGTTTAAAAAAAAAACATATTCATATTGTGCAATTGCGATCTTTATTTATTCATTATACATTCTTTATCATTTTCTTTTTCTGTCTTCCTTATGCAATTCTTTGTTGTTGCTTCTATCATCTCTGATGTTATTGTTTGATGTTACCATTCTATCATTTTGTTCGTTCTTTCTTCCTCATGTTATTCTTTGTTTCTTCCTACTATCACCTTTTCTAATGTTATTCGTTGCTTTTATCATTCTATCAACTTCTTGCTACCATTCCAAATGTAATTTTTTGTTTTTATTATTCTACAAATTATTCTCCTATCTTTCCTTGGTCTATCCATTTTCCTTCCTTCTATCACCTTTCCTCATGTTATTTTTTGTTTCTTCTTTGTATAAACTTTCATTATGTTATTCTTTGGTTTTTTCCTTCTACAACCTTTTTTATGTGATCCTGTTTTTCTGCCTTCTATAACCTTTCCCTTATGTTATTCTTTGTTACTTCCTTCGATATCATTTCCTTGAGGTAAGCGTTGTTTCTTCCTTCTATAACATTATGTTATGTTACCCATTGTTTCTTCCTTCTATAACATTATGTTATGTTACCCATTGTTTCTTCCTTCTATAACATTTTCTTATGTTATCCTGTTTTACTTCCCTCTATATAACCTTTCCTTATGTTATCCTTTTTTTAAATTCCTTCTATAACCTTTCCTTATGTCATGATTTGTTTCTTCCTTCTGTAACCTTCTCTTATATTATTCTTTGTTTCATCCTTCCATAACCTATAACGGGGTCAGTGACGATACCATGCACAGTTATCTGACTTGTTACATAATACGTTTCTAAACTGAATCAATATCAATGATCAACAAGTATTTGTCCTGGAATGGTCTTTTATCAGGCTCGATTAGTGTGCCCCGTTAGACATTTTATATATAACCATTTAAACTAATACTCTCAGCATTATCGGACACTATCAATGAAGTAGGGATGGATCTTTCTAACTCCTTTTAAATCTTCATCGTCGATGCTGTCTTGAAGAAAGAGCTTAAGAAATAACTAGCTTCTACATATATTGTGAAAATCTACTGTGTATCGAATCAGGGAAGGGACATCAGATTCTTACAAGTAGAGATCGCGGAATTGGCCATCGGGGCTTGGGTGAACTGCAAAATATACGAACAGTATGTACGATGTCGGGACTTTTGCGGTATGGGACTATGTCGTTTTGGCGATATCGCTGGGCATCTCGGCCGGCATCGGCATCTACTACGGCTGCACGGGCACGAAACAGTCAACGACAAAAGAATTCCTGCTCGCTGATCGCAACATGAGTCCGTTCCCGGTGGCGATGTCGTTGATTGCGAGTTTCATCTCGGCGATCACTGTTCTGGGAACGCCCTCAGAGGTGTATCTCTACGGCTCCATGTTCTGGCTCTTTTCGCTCTCCTACATCGGATCGGGACTCATAGCCGCGCTCTTCATGCCGATATTCTTTCGTCTGGGTGTCACCAGTGCAAATGAGGTATAATAATAATAATAAAGACGTTTGTAATAAGCCAACTCCACATGACTAAAGTGTTTGAGGCGCAATGGAGAAGAGAAATTACAAGTACACGAAAATACACCCCCCCCCCCAAAAAAAAACGGTTAGGCTATTTGCATTTTATTAGTGGATGCATTTTTTTTCAATACCCGAACAAATATATTACATTTAATTCGCACATTGCGTGCATGTTGTTGGCTTTCATAGCGCACCCGCACTATTCAAGCTGTCAAGTTATTCTTGTTTTTAAGAAAAAACCTGTTTTCAGCTTTTGGGCAAATAGGAAAATTTAGCAAACTTTATAATTCTTTAAAGAAATTTGCAATATTTTTTTCAAAAAGCAATTACAAAAGAGTCATGATATCTTTCTAGTTGCCGACACCGGTCTTGCAAGTCCTGATATTAAAGATGGACGCAGTTTCGGAACATTTTACTGTGCGTCTGAACATAGTATTTTAACCGTGGTTACAATTTTAACCCAAAAGTGAGTGTGGTAACTCATTTTCCGGAATTTTTTTTCTCATTTTTTTTCAATTCAGTAAAAAAATGTATCTTCAAAACAACATAATTAACACAGGCCTATCATACAATATATATTTACAGTTTTATGTAGGAAGGAGGCGAAATTCCCTAAAAAGCACAAGTCTTGTATAGTGAGGTTGCCGTAACAATACAGGCATATGATACATACACATGAATAACAATCATAATCTACAAAAAAATACCAACGAACGTAAAGAGATCAAGGAGAAGGTAGAGAAAGACAAAAAATCAAAGAAAACAATACTGAAAATATATAAATATATATATATATGTGTGAATGTATATATATATGGATTAGCTTTCAACTGCTTCACGCATCCAACAAACCAGTAAGGTGATCAAGCTCATTTTTCACCCCCCCCCCCCCCACGTCCACCCTCTACCTCCGGAATATATGTCGGCAAAAATCCCTGAAAGTCGTCGGCAATGTTGCACGTTTATTGGTCAAAAATAGAGGTAAAGCTGTATAAATAACTTAAAAATCCAGTGTTGCAGAGTATAGGGGTCGAGCAATAAGTACCGTTGAAGTGAAAAGGGTTAATTGTACCCAAAAAAAATTAACAAATTACTTTTTCCCCCTTTTCCAAGTAATCTTGTGCTTAAAGAGGTGAAACAACACATAGGAGCATTTTTCTGTGGAATGTTTAAAGCTGTGGCCGTTGTACAGTTATAAATCTGCAGGGGTTAGCGTAAAGCTTACCTTCGGAGGAATATAGGTTTGTTTTGACCAAGCATCAAAGTCCAACTATCTTTTTGTTGTCTGCGATAGGCCTACAGGTGAATCAAGAGTGCTTAGCCTATTATTGCTGTGGTCTCCTGGACATACAGACAAACCTATGTAAATAGAATCCTAGCCTATATACGTTGTGGGCCTGGTCATATGATAAGGACTAGATTGAGATATACATGTACATACATGTATAAGGTTACCTTTACCAGGGAGATCCTATCATCTCCCAGCCTGTACAAAGCTCCTAGTTTGACTCGTTTTTCACGCATTTATATGTATCTATGAAACAAATATTACAAATTGTAATGTTGCCAGTAACAACAAAATGTCAACTCTTCTTCACCACTTTAAAATTCTAGAATAAAAGTGGCCCCCATCTGCATTTAGGATTATAATAAGTAGCAGTGGCATGACGTGGGTAGGGATAGTAAGAAGGCATCGGAATCGCTGTGGTGGGGCGATTACTCATTAGAGGGGTCGTAGCGTATTCTTCAAACCCCCCCCCCCCCCCATCTGCCCCTCTCTCTCTCTCTCTCTCTCTCTCTATATATATATATATATATATATATATATATATATATATATCTTTCTCACTCTGTCTCTGTACTGTTACTTTATTCCATTTTGTATACATTTTTATTGAGGAACAGGGGCCCCTCATACGCCCCTGTAGCTACGTGATTGATCGATAAATTATCGTAAATGAATCGAATTAATTTTATATAAACAATGTCTCCACCAACTAATAACAAATGTTGAAGATACGTGGCATAATTTAAATTCAGTAATCAAAACTAAAGACATATGATCGCTTATCTCGCATGAGAGGACTTTGTTTGGATTTGATTTGCATTGTGATGAGATAAGGAAGGTTCAAGTAGATGCACACACCTAGATTGAGATATAGAGGTTTCTTTGAGCCCTTGCTTGGGTGCTTAATGGGTTACAGCTCCTGCTCATCAGAGAAAATTAGTCTCTCTCTTTCATACTCATTATTCTAACAAAACATTTTAAAAACATAAAATAGTGAAGAGGAACTTTACACTTCCCCCATTATACCAAACATGCATATCTGTAATTTCAACTTTAATGCATCAACACATGTTGCAACCTCATCTTAGTCCAGGATGAAAGTGAAGTCATTTTAAAGTACTCTGTAAATATTGAAATTATAGAGATTACTCGAAAATAGGCTAGGCTACAAAGTATAATTATTCATACGTGTGAGATATGATAATGAGCGCATCCAATCTATGAGAGGACACTTCTATAACTTCACAGCTAGATGACAGTCTCGAATTTCGACAAAACGAATATACCTTGGAAAATCTTTGGACGAATTACTGACACTCCAGAACTGCTTACGAGCAAAATATCCTGCCATTCATGTTCCCATATTCGGAGATGGTGACCAAGACAATGATCGGGTCTAATATGCCTATAGACTTTTGAGAGACTTATTGCCTCATCATTCGGCAAGGAATCGAAGACTTCATCTGAACAGGCAAATCTAACATTTATGTTTTGAAGTTGGTTGTGGATATTTCTGAACTCGCATCAAAGATGATACAGTTATTCCATTGAAGGGCTGTCGACCATTTTATGGTTTTTTTTCTACGTACTTAACTTCTTATTAAATGACAATCTTTCAAGGAATTTTTGAAAACGCTATAATTGCTGAAGAGCCAGTGGGCATAACAAGACGAAAGAATGGATTACTATGACGTGGGGATCTTCACCGGTGCAGACTATGCAGTCTTCAGTGTTTGTCTGGCCTTTTCTGCTTCCATCGGTCTCTACTTTGGCTGCACCGGGGGAAACAAAGCACCAACCAGGAATTCCTTCTGGCAGACAGGAACATGCACCCAATCCCAGTGGCCCTGTCCTTGGTCGCTAGCTTCATATCAGCCATAACAGTACTTGGTACCCCAGCAGAAATCTACCTCTACGGCACTATGTTTTGGCTATTTGGGTTTGCATACATAGGGGCTGGGCTTGTAACGATGTTATTCATGCCAATTTTCTTCCGACTCAATATAACAAGTGCAAATGAGGTAGGTATATAAAGAACTGTCGAAGGCTATGAGGCATTACAATCTCGCAGAGTTTCCGCCAGGGGTGTGGCTATAGGATGGGGAATGTAAACCTCTTACTAATCAATATAACCATCCATGATATTACCCAGGTTTATTATCAGCATTGCCGGATTTTATAAATAATGGTAATTGTCAACAAAAAAATGTTTGATTTAGGCCTGCTATGTTAGTTTGATTTTCTTGCTAAATTGATGAATCCGAAGACATTTTTACCAATACATTTATTACCATTATTGGCAAATTTTTAAGCCCGTAATTAATCGAATAATCCTGATAATGCAATTTTGAAAAAAAAACTGAATTTTGAGGGTGGAGAAGTGTAAATATGTTTGTCAAATTGAATAGAAGAAAATGAATGTTCATTTGAATTGAATTGAATCGAAAATGTGAATTTCAACGAATCTTTTCCTTACAAGCAAATATTTCAAAATAATAATACCCGTTGCTTTCCTGCAAAGGTTCATGTTTACTTGTCATAAGGGTCGTTAATTCAGAGATCATCCTTGTGGCAGATTAGCCCTGTGCTAAACAAGCTATCTAATAAAGTATACTACTACTTCTACTACTACTACTTCTACTACTACTAATAATAATAATAATACTTCTACTAGTACTACTACTACTACTACTACTACTACTACTACTAGTACTACTACTACCAGTGGCGTAGACAGGTTCGTACACCTGGGGGGGGATGACTCAGGGGCGGATCTAGCTTTTTGCTAAGGGGGAGGCTGACCAAAATAATGACGATGCAGAGCATCGTCCACGAGCCGCGAAGCGGCGAGCCGATTTTTTTTGGGGTGTTTATTTGAACCCCGTAAGTGATGTTTTCCTGGCATCTATTAACACAATGGAGACCATAAAAAGCAGTGCATGATAACGTCTTTTTAAATCAAGTAACAGTTAAATACACAGTTATATCCAGAGTTATCATGTGTTTGGTTAAGTTACCAGATGAGTTGAATATCTTCTCACAATATTTGCACTTGAAAGGGTTTCTCTCCAGCGTGCGTTCTTTTTTTCTTTTTTTTCTTTCTTTTGTTTTCCTTTTTTTTTTTTTTTTTTTTTTGGGCCGCCCAAGGGGGGGTTTAAACCCCCTAAACCCCCCCCCCCCCCAGTAGATCCGCGCCTGTTTAATCATGTGGTTATCTTGTGGTTTCCAAACCACAAGATAACCACAAAATACTTGTAAGATTTTCTTTTTTTACCGTCTGAATTGGCTTTCACCGTGTGAATGCGGCTAATAACAATAAACACAATTACAACTAGACATAATACTTGTTTGGAACAAGTATAGGTGGGCTGGTCAACTTAAATTTGAAAACAAAATAGAGCAAAATTAAGCAAGATACTGCTTGAAAATTCTTAAAAAACACTATCATGTAGATTCATTACGTGAACGAAATTCACCTTCTATAGTCATAACACGCAAATTATGAAATTTCTGACATGAGGCCTTTAATCAAAATTTTCACTCTGATGACGTCATCAAAATGAAAAAGAGTAATTATTGAACTTGTAGAGAATTATCTTAGCTACAACATATTGAAATTTTGAAGAAAATCAATAAATATATACAGAGATACAATCAATTTTCCATAAATATGCTGACGTCATAATATGCAAATTCGTATTTTGAGTTCCAAGGCCATTAAGATGATGTCACGATACACTCAATGGCCAAATGAGACATGAAATCATATTTCTGACTCATACTCTTTTCAAATATTAAAACAGAATTGCGGTCCAGGTGCATCCCAAAGAGCTATAATGGATTGTGTATAGGCATGTTTTTGCCCATGTATGTTATGTATTACAAGAGCTCGCACGCACGGACATTTATGTTAAGCGAACGCTCATTCCCTTAATAATGGTCATAAAGAGATAAACATGGTATCAATTTGTTTGTAAAAATATGGGAAATATCATGAAAGAAAAAAAATGGCGATTCTATGTTTTGTAATGGTGTTACGCGCGAAAACGCGCGCGCATGTGCGTGCGCGCGATTTTTTATAAAATGCTTAAAATGACCTGAAACGTATGCAAAATAAATTTGAGACGATTTTGAGCATTTATAAATTTTGCGCGCACACTGACGCGCGGACGTACGCGCACGCGCGCGTTTTTTGACATGAAATTGACTAGACTGATATTGACCTTGATCATGATAAATATGAATGAGAAATTACTTTTCGTTATGAAGATATGATCATGAGTTAATTTTCACAAAATGGCGCCTAGATGACGTCATCAGTCAAGGTCAAGATTGAAAACGTTATTTTGATTTCTCTAAATGCCTATACATATGTGTGTCAAATTTCAAGGTATTTGATTGAACCATTTTCATGTTATCTCGTCCACAAAAAAGTGGGTAGAAATAAGAAAAACTAGATTTGTAATACTTGTTTGGTACAAGTATAGGTGGGCTGGTCCAGCTAAAATTTTAGACAAAATGAAGGGCACATTTGAGATAGCTAATTGTCTCAGCTACATCATACTCAAAGTTCAGCGTAAACGAAGCTAAAACGACGGAGATATTGCTCGCGAAAGACGGGAATGTAGAATCCAGTTTTGAGAAAAAGTCATGTCCCATAGAGAATACACGCAAAATGTGAAAAATTGACATGCCTCCTTTAATCGCAAAAAATACGCCATGATGCCTATGCCAAAATGAAGGATCGTAGTCACTTTATTTGTAGAGAATTGTCTCGGCTAAAACATATACAAATTTTAAAGAAAATCGATCAATATCTACAGAGAAACAATCAATTTTCCGTAAATATGCTGACGTCATAATATGCAAATTGGAATGTTGAGTTCGGAGGCCATTATGATGACGTCATGGGTTAATTGAGGGTCAAATGAGACATGAAAAAATATCTCCGAATCATACTCTATCAAAATATGAAAAAAAATTGGGGTCACCTTGCATCCTAAAGAGCTACAATGGATTTTGTATGGGCATGTTTTTGCCCATATATGCTATGTATTACAAGAGCTCGCGCGCACGGAAATTTATGTTAAACGGTCGATCATTCCGTTATTAATAGTCATAAAGAGACAAACATGGTATCAATTTGTTCTTAAAAATATGTGGAATATTATGAAAGAAAAATAAGGAGATTCTATGTTGTGTAATAGTCTTACGCGCGAAAACGCGCGCGCAACGCGCGCGCATGCGCGTGTGCGCGATTTTTTATAAAATGCTTAGAATGGCCTAAAACGTATGCAAAATGATTTTGAGCATTTCAAAATTTTGCGCGCGCATTAACGCGCGGACGTACGCGCACGCGCGCGTTATTTGACCTCAAATTGACCGGACGGATATTGACCTTGATCATGATAAATATGAATGAGAAATAGCTTTCGGTTATGAAGATATGATCATGAGTTGATTTTCGTAAAATTTTACAAAATGGCGCCTGGATGACGTCATCAGTGAAAGTCAATGTTGAAAACGTTATTGTGCTTTGTACATATGCCTATACATATGTGTGCCAAATTTGAAGGCATTTGATTGAGCCATTTTCATGTCCACAAAAAAGTGGTTAGAAATAAGTAAAATAAATAATAATAATAAATAAATAAATAAATAAAGGCAATTCTAACGAAATTATAAGGTGGTCTGTACGTTATACAGCCCACCTGATAAAGAATAAAGGCAATTTTAACAAAATTATAAGGTGGTCTGTATTAGATACAGCCCACCTAATAATGATGAGGATTATTATTATCATCATCATAATTATTATTATTATTAATATTATAATTGTTATCATTATTATTATTACTATTATTATCATCATTATGACTTATTAAGTAAGCAAATATCATTCCCCAAAACCTGGGGGGATGATTGTATATGCCATCCCCCCACCTTGTGAGGTGGGGGGATGCATCCCCCTCATCCCCCCCCCCCCCCCCCCCCGTTGTCTACGCCCCTGACTACTACTACTACAGCTGCTGCTACTACTACTACTACTACTACTACTACTATTGCTACTAGGGTACTGATATTGGAACAGTAGTAATCTGACATTCATCTTGTCTTCCCTTCTTCTTTTGTAACCCTCCGACAGGCCATTTTATTTTTGAATCATTCTCTGAACAATAAAAATTGATATTTTCTCTGGCGACATGCAACTGCTTCGAGCTTTACTTCGTTAAAGATGTGGGTTTCGGGTTGCGATTGGGTTTTAGGTTAGGTTTAGCGTCAGGGTTATGTTTATAGGGACAGTGTTGGGTATACGGTTGATATTAGATATTCGGTTAGTGTAGAAAAGGGTCAAACAACCACGACAATGCCTATGGAAGAGAATTGGTGCCGGACTCTCCAAACTTTTTGCCTAACGGACTATTCATGCATGCTTTATCCAAGTGAGGTATAATTTGCTCATGTTAATACACCCACACATACACACTCACACACACACACAAACGCACTTCTGTAATTGTCTTATTAGTTTCTTTCTTGGTTGGGGGCCTTGTATCATGTCGCGTCCAATATTCCCAAAGTCGTATTTCATGTATCCAAGGACTTGTTTGATCGAATTCAAAGTTGGAATTTGAGTTCAAGCTGTATGACATCAGATCCGCAAATGTCTCATGATTTTTGCCGACTAGTGGCTATTCGTATAATGCACTGCAGTCCTGTATGCGAAACGCGTCTGCAACCAGAAATGACTTAATTACATCGATCAGTCCAAATTCCACCCCGCCCACCCGCGCACCCACACAACACCCATCCGCTCACGCACACACACTGACATAACACCACATGTAGACCCGCATTTTAAAAAGGAGACGCTCTACAGCCTGGAGAGGGGAAGGGGAAAGAGAGGACAGATAGTCTGGCAGTGCATTGAAAATCACGAGTTTTATTCTTTGGGTGAATAACATAATGTTAATACATCCCCTAGTAACAAACAAATCACACAAAAGAACATATTCGTGACAAACCCTGTCGATATGAATTTCGTAGTTTGATCACGTCTGCATTGTAATTCAGTATGGATCGAGAATTTAATACAAATAATAAGACGATGTTTAGCGTATTATGTCAGCTGCAGGAAGTAGACAGCATCATGTAAACGAAGTGAAATACTTTGTGTTCGAATGACTTCTTGAACTTACTATCCGATACCATCATGTGTTTAAAGGGAGTGTGTCATGACGAGACTATGTGTCTTTCCCGTGGGCCTACTCGGGGCCAATCGGGTATAATACGACTACGGACGACGCGACCGCAGCATTCATGTGCGTGCAACATACGCGAAACCGAAGCGTGAGGAGAACTTCGGTCTGTTTCGCGAACGCTAGCGCGTTGACCCAGTTTAGCGCGCGCTGACCCAGTTAATCAAGTTAATTTGTTTACGTGCAGTTGTCCAAAAGAAAATGTATATGGTGTTAACCTGTATTTGCCATGATACACTCCCTCTAATGTGTACAAACCTCTTACATAGCAATCCTTTCTTACAGGCTAGTCTAAAGGTCACATAGTCTCGATTGATCCTGCCTTTCCTAGTCATACAAAGAAAAGAGTAAACAAGTACATATATCTACCGTATGAATTACATGTAAGAAAATCGCTACTGCTAATTGCATATTGTTAATGAAACTCATAATAGGGAAACTGAGGTTTATCATAAGAAAGAGGGGTCATATTTTTAAGGTCAGACACGGACAGATAGCCAAAAAGAGTTTCACGTTAATAATAATAATCTAATATAACAATATTCGGTTCTTGTATATATAGCGCATATCACATTATACAACGTCTACATGTGCTTCCAAAGACTTTGGAAATTATTACCCTAGCTTTAGGTCCAGCAGCCGTTATCAGCGCACAGTGCATTTCAAGGAATAATCCTACCAGGTACCCACTTAACTCACCTGGGTCGAGTGCCGCGGCTCTTGGTTGCAAAAGGGATGATGTAGGAACATGAAGATAAACAAGTCATGATGTGAGGGCTTCGATATTTGTATATGAATGTTTAAAAAGCTGTGCTTGGTGAATATGCAAAAGTTTGTGGCATATTTGTTATCCTAAAGATGGATCGGTAAATTTAGTATATGTTTTTTTTTTTCTTTTTTTATAAGCAAAAATATAATTTGGTTTCAATGGGTACGAGATGAAATTCAAGAGGTTCAGATTTCGAACCCTTGTCTGATCAAGGAGTTACTCCTTGGTCTGATGGGTATGTTATCAGACGATACACCTTATGTATTTCTTCCCCTCTAGACCCAGGCTATCAAATCTGTACCTTATGTGATTTGCTCCTTAATGTATTCATCTATACCTCAGTCACACCGCCAAACAGACTGCAAATCGAATGAAAACTGAAAGCTTCTTTTCCATTATGGATAATAAACCTTCTGTTCTCTCTGATGCCGGTCTGGTTGGTGTGAGTGAGTAAAAACACGAAATTTATTGAAATCAACATTCATCCTTTTCGGTTATCCATTGCAATACAAATTTAACGCGATGGAATGTGATTTACAATTATTTTTCTCTTTTTCTCCTTTATTTCAGTATCTCGAGCTGCGATTCAACAAGGCGGCACGTATTCTTGGAACTCTGGTCTTCTTCGCCCAGATGGTAATATTTTCTTCTTTTTCTCTCTGTACTGTTACTGCCAAGCTCCATATTGTTTTATATTAAATAGGTCGTGTAAAAACGTTTCACAGAATTTACCGCACGTGTAAACGTACTGGTCCGAATTTACGAAAGGGTTTGAATTCCAACATGGGGTGTACCATTTAAATCTCAGTAATTAACATGATCAAGTAAGATTAGGAGGAGACAGGATGGCTCAGTGGTAGAGCAGGGATCTAATAACCGGGAGTTTCCGGGTTCGAAACCAAGTCACTTCTATAGTGCCCTTTGGTAAGGCGTTGATCCTCATTGCCAAGTCCCTCGGAGAGGACTTAAAACCACCGGTCCCATGGTTGCTTACTACGAGGCATACAAATAAAAACAACCATCAAACCAAACCATAATATCTTAGCATATATATATTTAAGTAAACATCTTGCCTTTTTCGATTTTTAGAGTAGTTTAAAATTCCTAAATTTGTGGTTCCACCATGTGGGTAGTCCTGAAAAGTGCTGTTTGGTTTTTGAAAGAGGAAAGAAAAGAAAGGGAGTGAGTGGGAGAGGGGTATTCTTTGGGTTTCGTCCTATGGAGGATTACTGGGTATTGCATGGATAGAGGTAAAACAATTATTAAGAGAGGTACTCTTACGTGAGTGGAGTTCCGAGAAGCACTGGTGAACAAAGTTACGAATGCGAAGATCTATACGCACCACTTTGGATATTACACCTAATCTGCTCATATCATCTAGAGTAATGTTATAAAGTTATTTATGGTTCAGTCTCGCTCAGTATGGCAGTGACATAAGACTATTTTAGATAATTTCATAATAATTTTGTTCCATGACTAAAATCCAATTTGACTACTAGCAAAAGTGTAAAATATTCAAGTATTACCAAAAGAAATGCTTTGGTTTCGTTAACCCTTAGCTGTTATTATGTTCACTCAAAAACTTATAAAACGATGTAGCAAAAACTGCTTACATTGCATGCATTGGCTATTAACATTTCTCTTCGTTTCTTCGATTACCATAAATCATTAATAATTTTGGATCATAAATTGTTGGAGACAGAGACTTTATTGAGGACCGCGCGATAGTGTTGAAAAGACACAAATAAGGAAATGGAATGAAATTAAACTGGGCGAAGCCTTTGCTTATACCCGCTCAAAGTTCACCTTTCTCTTATATACGACCATTAAAGGTGAAACATAGTTTGGGAAAATTTTGAAAATTGGGTGGATAGTGATTCTTTACAATTTTAATATATTTGGATGTCCCTGTGGATGTATTATAAGAACTAGACAATTTAGCCCCTGAAACACTTCTGCTTTCGAGAAAAATTGAATATAAAAATGTATAGGTGCTCCCGGTAAATTTTTATAAATTTCAAATAGCGCCTATACCGTACGATGGTAGCTGCGACCATGAAAATCTCAGAATATTTAGTTGTGATATATAATATCCAAACGGGATAGCTAATCGGTCGATTTTAGTCAAGAAACATTGTTTTATAGATTAATGAATATCTTGACCTTGAGAGGGGGCTATACAACATAAAGAGTTTATTATTTACAATTTCCTAAGTTTAGACTCGATTTTAACCGCGACAACGATCACTGAATATTGTAGGATCGCATATGCTTCCAATATGTTCATTTGAACCGAATTCATGACCCTATACCCAAACATTGTATTACCTTTAAATGAAGATGATACACGCTTTTAAATTTGCAAGAGAGTAAATATGAGCGAGGGTTTGGTCATGATCTTTAATGTATTTACACGTCCTTGATGTTTATTGCTTCTGTAGCGTTTTTTACGAGGTCGTAACACTTGATGTAGAGGTGTACTTCAACGTGATATTCACATATACTCACTTGTATTAAACCTGATGATCGCGGTCGGTTCATCTTATCTACATTCAAAATAGTAGGTCAGTTAATGTAAGCGATTGAATGCATGTGTAAATTACTTGTAGATATAAAAACATGTCACGTAATATTATAGTACATGACTTATTTTTCATAGGTTCTCCTAAAAAATACAATTTTAGAAGTATTAACAGGAAGTAGGCCTACGTGTATAGCACTAGGGTACAAAATGGGAATTATTGTTTAAATAACAGCTGTTCTGTTTTCATTTTGAGCATTCATGTCAATACATTTTTTCCAACTTTTATAAAGAGAAAATAATATGCAATTAAGAGTAATGTTGAGTACCCGTCACAACATTCCTTTATGATTAATTAATTAATTTCTTTTCTGGTAAGCTTTTTTTTTAATCATAAAAATTAAAACAAACAGACTCATCCTCACCGAATATCGCTACCAGGGGAACAATGCACACAGATATGGGTAGATGGGACTATGCATTTGGTCCTGAGTATTAAACTGCAAAACTGCTAATATAATATCTCAAGAGCAATGCATGTAACATTTCAACACTGATAGTCTTCCATATGTAAATAAGAATAGTGAAAAAGGGTTACACTTTTCATCATAACCTTAAATTAATCATCTCTTTCAATGCTTATCACTATATCAGGATTGTCAAAACTAGCTGTGGAGACATTACGACTGTGGGGGAAATAGTATATGCTTCTTCTTCTTCTTCTTTTGTAATAGTCCTTCTTGACACTGGTTTAAAGGTACTATCTCCCATTTGCAGGCCAAAAATATGAAAAGGTTAAATTCCAACTGCATTTGAAAGATAATACTAATTTAGAACTTCCCTAAAAAGGGTGGGGCTTGAAAATGTCTTCAAGTGGGGAAATAGCGACTATTACCTCTCAAATCGACTTAGGAGCTATAGAGCCAATAAGTAATAGTCTTGATTTTCAGACCATTGTACCGAATGGTCATACGTTTTATGCTGCGCAAAGATTCAATCAGTTTTGTTTTGGCCATTACAAGAAGTGGGTTATTGATGTACACAAATGCTCCTTTACAGCTCATATTATGGATGTTACCAAAGATGAAAAAGCCAGTCAGTCACTCGATAGTGTCTGACAGTGAAGTCTAGCAAGTAAACGGGTTTCCTTGCATAATTTGAATATTAGGACACTGCTAACGTTTAAATTTCACAGATAGGACATACATGACATAGTCATAATTCCTGCAAAGTTCTGCAGAATTTAAAGGTTGACTGCAGAAGGGACATAGTACCTTTAAAATTAAAAACACCCACATTTGAATTTGACAGGACTTTAGACATTGGGTTGTGTCCGAAGCACGAAGAATCATAAAGCCACTATTCATAAAAGCTTATCGAGTTCATTCCGGATAAAGTAGAACTCCTTTATTAGTCCACTTCTCTGTGATGCTGGGCTACGTTTCACGAAGCTGTCATAAGTACAACTTCACCGACATCCGGCTAAAACTTTGACTGTATATTCAAAAATGCTGTGTAATCGTCCATGACCTAGCATCGTTTAGCCATTCATGAATGAACCTGCATTCAATCAGCAGATGTATGAGATTTATTGTATTATTACCAACGCTCCTTCTCTCCCCTTTCCTTTTCTTCTCTGCAAGTCACTCTTTTTCATTTTTATTTGTATTGTTGTATCTAAGCTGAGGGCTGCCGGCACGTCAAGCTACTTTGCTTATTTCTGTAGCCCTTCTGCATCTAACGTATTTTAATTATGCATTCAATATATTTGTTTAAATTCAATATATTTGTTTAATATCGTTTATTAACTGTATAAAATTATATACACTTGAAATATTGTATCAAGCCATTTTATGTTCATAAAAATGTATGATGAAAAAAAAAAAAAAGATGCAGAAAACCAATAAATCAAATAAAAATCAAATTAAAAAAAAAACGTTTATTTAGTTTAACACGCCTGTTTCATGGAATGTCGTTGAGCTTCAGCTTATGACGGTTTCGTAAAACGCTGACCAGGGCCCTGTTTCATAAAACTAGATATCAATAACAAATGCTGAATTTCTATGACAAATCTGCTCTCGGCCAATCAAATGCCACGATTTCAGTAGCTTATAACAGTCATTGTAACTTGTTATTGATAACATGTTTTATGAAACAGGGCCCAGGTGTCGTCTTCCTCGTCCTGCACAAATTAGACTCCTTTTATACAGGGACTTCATAAATGGAAGCTATCACAAATTACTATTTTCACCTCATTACGTCATTTCCTGAAATGAATTCATTTCTTAGATTAGTATCTAACATTTAAGTAGTTTTGTTATGTTAGAAGTATGATAGTGATGTACAAAGAGAAACAGGACGCGTACATAACTTTTAGGTGGTTTTTATTACAAGGCAAAGAGAACACTTATGCAAACATTAGATAAGAAATGTTACGAAAACAAATATGTTTAGACGATGCACCGCCTAATTTTACACTCATAATGAGTAATGTTCTATATCTAATATGCGTTTGGATGAGAAAGTAAATAGAGTTAAGAATGTGTCGTGATTTTATTTACTTTGTATTTTTCTTATCTACATTACTGCTCTGATTTTTTTAATGCGATTTCACTTCAAAACAAAACAATACTTCTTCTTCTTCTTCTACTCTGTTTTCTTCTTCTTCTCATTCTTCCTCTGCCTCCCCTTCTTCTTCTCCTTCTTCTTCCTCTTCTTCTTCTTCTTCTTCTTCTCCTTCTTCTTCTCATTCTTCTTCTTCTTCTTCTTCTTCTTCTTCTTCTTCTTCTTCTTCTTCTTCTTTTTCTTCTTCTTCTTCTTCTTCTTCTTCTTCTTCTTCTTCTTCTTCTTCTTCTCCTTCTTCTCATTCTTCTTCTCCCCCCCTTCTTCTTCTTCTCCTTCTTCCTCTTCTTCTTCTTCTTCTTCTCCTTCTTCTTCTTCTTCTCCTTCTTCTTCTTCTTCTTCTTCTTCTTCTTCTTCTTCTTCTCCTTCTCCTTCTCCTTCTCCTTCTCCTTCTCCTTCTCCTTCTTCCCCTTCTTCCTTCCTCTTAATGACTATAAGTCAACGTTCCAACGCCCATAGAGGCACACTGTCACTATGTAGGCCTCGCGTACCAATAGAGTGATGGTTTACATATAGAAGTAGATACATCACCGGTAAAAACACAAAACGGGCATATTACGTCATCGAGTGGGTAAAGGCAGGTGTAACATTGATGTAAATGATTCAACAGAAAACAAATACATGTAGAAGACTCGATCGCTTAAAGTCATAATGGGCATTATAATCGAAGTACGTGCAAGAAATATAGTTAACAGAATTGAATAGTTCTGTTCTTTGATATTCCATGTATCGTATGTTATCCAAATAGCTTTTTAAGTGTTCTCATTAACTGATTTTACTAGAGATAACATTTTATGTTTGACGTGACATGTTTTTATTAAGAAGGTGTCTACCTTCATTACAGAATTTGGAATAAGGGTCGTAGAAAACTTCTATCTTTAGTAAAAAGAACTTCTTTTTCAATATATGGTTCGGAATTGTTTTTTTAAATGCTTTAACCACTGCGAGCTCTATGTCGTCGTTTCCGTCGTCTTATGCGTCCTCATCTTCGACGTCATGGTGAATTCCAAAGACGCGTATTCCGGGAATCGAACTTGAGCCGCCGAATTGAAACACCGATGACAGACCACTACACTTATGCAGAGCCATTTATTCACAGAGTTAGGCCAACTTGGTTTCACTGGGTCACAACATGGCGTATATTCTTTTGTTTTGTACTTAGCCTACAAAGCAGAAGTCGCCATGTTGTGTCCAAGTCGAACCTGGTTAGCCAAACTCTGTGCATAGATGGCTCTGCACCACTGGTAAGCATAGCGCCCTCAATGGTAGGACCCATGCTTCGCCCTCTGTATCTGACTGGCATGTATAACAAAATAAATCATTTCTTTAAATTTGTTTTGTCCTCTTTTTTATATTGCAGATCCTTTACCTTGGTATTGTCATCTATGCTCCAGCACTCGCACTCAACCAAGGTATGCTTTCGGCTCGGTTCAAACCTTAGAAATTTAAAGAACACATATTTTGTTTAATTCCAATCATTAGATATATTTATTCCTATACATGATATTTTAGGTAACATCAATTAACTCTCGATAGATAAAACTGCGCATTCACAAAATACTTAATTTAACTATGGACTTTCATTGACCTCATGTATTCAACAGTAGATTCATTGACTAAATATGTAAGGTTCAAAATTGATAATATATATTTGAAGGTTTTAAAAAATGAGGAAGGTAACTCGACTTAGTATTACTTTTTTTGTTTACTCGTATGATAATAATCCATCGTGTAAAAATAATAAGATGACGAATCCTCTTTCCTAAGAGAAATTTCTTCTGCACGGCCCACAGACAAGAATACTTACATTGGGAATCGATTATGAATATAAACAATTGATGAAATTAGAAGTTGTTAGTGTTTTACGACCAACATTCCAAAGAAATTAAGTCCATATCACTGAAAATGTAATCATTTAACTTATTCAGATTTTTCGTCAAACCTGTATCAGCATTTCCTGCTTCGAGTTTAATAGGCAAAATTTGTGTAAAGGTTCAATCCCTTATTGATAATAATTCTATAATGCTTAGCAATTTGTCTTCTTTTTTTTCTCCTTCCTTTGTCAGTTACCGGTTTGAATCTATGGGGCTCTGTCTTTGCCATAGGGATTGTCTGCACCTTCTACACAACAATCGTAAGAAACCTAATTATTTCCTTTTATCCTTATTTTCATAGGCATGGATGCAGGGTCAAGGAGGTTGTGCAATACTAAAACATAAAATATATTTGTTATTCCTTTATATTTGTTTTCTATTTTCATTCAGCTTTCAATTTATAAATATCAAGTTGTATTTTTATCGAATATGGTGTTTCAGCCGAATAGCCGAATTTTAGCATTTTTTTGTGTGTGTGAGGTCCACCACCAAACAAATTGCCGACTCCAACTCGGGTTAATATTTTGCTCGGTCTGGTGTCAGGCTGGTGTCAATCTAATGTCAGTCTGGTGTCAGTCTGGTGTCAGTCTGGTGTTAGACTGGTGTCAGTCTGGTGTCAGTCTGGTGTCAGTCTGGTGTTAGCCTGGCGTCAGACTGGTGTCAGTCTGGCGTCAGTCTGGTGTCAGCCTGGTGTCAGTCTGGTGTCAGTCTGGTGTCAGTCTGGTTTTGGTCTAGTGTTGGTCTGGTGTCAGCCTGGTGTCAGTCTGGTGTCAGTCTGGTGTCAGCCTGGTGTCAGTCTGGTGTCAGTCTGGTGTCAGTCTGTTGTCAGCCTGGTGTCAGTCTAGTGTCGGACTGGTGTCAGCCTGGTGTCAGTCTGGTGTTAGCCTGGTGTCAGTCTGGTGTCTGTCTAGTGTCGGACTGGTGTGGGTCTGTTGTGGATCTGATTTCAGTATTTCAGGGGCCCCGTCTTATAAACAGTTCAATTGATCCCAATCAATCACAAGTCCTCCAATCAATCGCAAGTTTGCAGTCTCCTATTTTAAATGTACGTAGTTGCAATTGATATCAATCGCAAATGAGTCGCGATTGGTGACGGGGCCCTTGTTTCAGTCGGGTGTGGGTATGATATCAATGTGTTGTCAGTCTGATGATGGTCTGGTGTCGGTCTCTAAGGTGTGAGTAGGGTAAAAATGTTAAATGAATAAAAGGTGAATAAATATATTTTACGTCTTAGGGAGGGATGAAAGCTGTGCTATGGACCGATGCTTTCCAGGTGATGGTTATGATGTCTGGTTTCCTAGCCGTCATCATCAAAGGCTCTATGAACATTGGTGGGCTGGACAAGGCTTGGCAGATATGCGAAGAGAACGGCAGAATCGATTTCTGGAAGTAAGCAAATCGACATTAATTCATATTTTAGTTTTATTTCATTGTGTCCATGCCTCTGCTCCACAGTAGGCCTACAATGATATTTTGATAATTTGTTGCCTTCCGTCCAGATCTTTGCGCTCTCAGAACTCCGCATTTCTTGTTCTTCCTAAGCTCAGTAGTCGCGACAGCGGAAGTCGCTTCTGATTGGTTAGTCGTTTCACGGTGCTCAAGATAGTTCATTACCATAGACATATTACGTGTGCGGAAACTATTTGGAACTCCATGATTCAACATAATTATGACCGCGTTCGCATAATATGTGCCATGTCACAACTGTCTCACTCAGTACGATATGGCCGTGGTCATTTCGTTTTTCTCTCTTTTTCCTTAGCTTTGATCCTGATCCAACTATCCGTCATACGTTCTGGACTATAGTAGTGGGCGGGACCTTTACTTGGGGGAGTACCTATGGTGTCAACCAATCACAGGTCCAGAGGTATCTCACGTGTGGCAAAGAGAAGACTGCTCAGCTGTGAGTATCATCTGACCAAACCACATCTGCCATCTCAACCTTTCTTTCAATTATCTCATCCTTGCATGTATTATATTCTATCTCCTGAAATGTATGACATTTTAATAGAGAATGACATTAAAATTTCTTTTTAACAAATATGCAAATATAAATATTTTTTGAGCATTTAAAAAAAGAATGGATGAGAATTTCGATATCAACAGAAGTATAGTAGGACAAACAGAACAGGGGTTGAAATTTTAAACTTTAAACCAACTATAAGAACCAAATACTACATATTATACAACGCATTAAAAGTTAAAGGAAAATTGATATTGACCAATTCTCTTTCCGTTTCCTCTTTCCAACTTGTGTAGAGCTCTGTTCATGGCGGTCATCGGGATGGTGATTGTGGTGTCATCAGCCTGCCTGTCAGGATTAGTCATGTATGCTAACTTTGTGGAATGCGACCCCTTTACAATGGGATATGTCACATCATCAGATCAGGTAATAACGAATAGCGTTCTCTCACTAAATTCTTGTAAATGAATGGTAAGGTATTATCGTTCTCTTGAACAATACATTTATGTTAAAAATAACAAATTTGTATCATTTGATAATAGGTGGAAAAACATTATGTTGCATTTAAAAAAAAATATTTTAAAAATGTACCACCATGTCTTATATAATCAGCTATATTCTTGTTGTTGATTCTATTGGTTATATTATGTATATATATTCATATATGTTTTGTTATGTTTTGCAAAGTCGAAAGCAATATTGAATAAAGATGATTTTATTAAAGAAAAAAAATCAGGTAATAACAAAGACTAAAGTGAACCATAATATAAAGCTTATGAGGAAGAGGGTGAGGGGGCTGTAGCCCCTCCTCCCCCCCCCCCTTTCCCCATCGCCTGTTAAGTTGAACACATAGGCCCGTATTCTGAAGTCGTGTCTAACTCCTGTTTAACTAAACAGTTGTCTAAGTCCCGTCTTACTTTAGACACGAAGTCGTGTCTAACTTTTTTGGTATTCTGAAGTCGTGTTTAAACAAAGTTAAACACGAAGTCCTGTCTAAGTCCTGTTTAACTTTAGACAACTGCGAGGGGTTGTTTAAGTCCTGTTTAAGGGCGCGATTCTGCTGCTTTTCAACGCCGACGGTACACTGTACTTGCTGACCCCGAACTTGCGGGGGAGAACGATGGTACGTGCATTCTCCAAAATTTCAAATACGTTTTGCAGGATTTTTTCTCGTGTAGCCTAATTTTTTTTCTCGATAATATTAACTATTCTTATCTACTGGTGACATCTTGGAAATTCCATAATCTATAATGAACTAACCATTCTGTTGGAGAAGTTTCTTTTGTGGTTCTTCCGAGCACTGAGGCACCGATGAGTAGTGTGTTTGTCAATCTCATGCAGTACGTGTACTACGTACGTACGTACACAAAGTACATGCAGTCTAGTCATTACGTCACGATCACATCACCATGGTACCAGCACGCGCACAGCTAGCTGTGCGCGTTAATTTATTTATCCGGTGCGCGCACGCATGCGCATTGGGTCTTTCGTCACAATTAACGCCTACTGGGCATGCCCAGAAGTCGTGACTAAGAGTTAAACACGACTTGCGCAGAACTTAAACAGTTGTTTAGTTAAACACCACTTAGACAGGACTTAAACAGTTTTTTAGTTAGACGAGACTTAGACACGACTTCAGAATACGAAATTTAGTTAAACAGGACTTAGACACGACCTCGCGTCTAAGTCCTGTCTAAGTCGTGTCTAACTAAACAGTTGTTTAACTTTAGACGTGGCTAACTTAGACACGACTTCAGAATACGGGCCATACTGTTATGCAAAAATGATAGTTGTGATTTAAATTTTAAGCTCATGTCTTAATTTTCTCTGGTGGTTATCAATATTATGTAGATGATGTATTGCTTCTGAAATTGAGTGACCACTACATTATTGGTAGCCAAGAGCTCCTAGAATGCTGGGTGCCGTTCCACGAAATCGTCATAAGTAAAAGTTGATCGATATCTGATTGAAACACGTGTTAAATTTATATACGCGTTATAATGAGTTGTGAGCGAACTTGTACTTATGACGGTTTCGTGAAACCGCTGCCCTGGATATGAGTGTCAGAAGAAGATCAATTCTAGCTATCATTGTCAACATAATCAAAAGCACAACAAACCACGATCGCATTGACTTCCGAAATATCAACCTTGGGGCAATTTCGATTAACTTGTGCGCCACCTTTAAAAAAGAATACAATGACATATTAGGTAATCCAAACCTGATTTCCAACGACAATACATGAGAGTACCGAGTATGACGTCATACTGCAAAGTTGTCAAGAATCAGCGCTGGTTCCAACATTTTTGTGCTAAACAATGGCGTGGTGATCACACCCAGCCCCAAACACTAAATTCGCCCTGCTCTAGCCCGTTACTTGCTTGGTTTCGCCAGATTCGCGATGAACCTCATCATGTCACTATGAACATGACGGAAGAGGACAAAATATACAGTTCCTCATTCTACCCTCAATAATTGCTGTGGTAGACAAAGGAACATCTCTTCACTGCTATTATGTAAAAATGTGTAGAACAGGTGTCACATGCATATTCATCTGTTCTACACATTTTTACATAATAGCAGTAAAGGGATGTTTCGATGTTTCTTTGTCTACCACAGCAATTGTTGAGGGTAGAATGAGGAACTGTATATTTTGTCCTCTTTCTTTGTCCGTCATATTCATAGTGTGTGCAGGCTCTATTGTTTGAAAACAGTAACCTGGACGACGAGTGGATATTACGTCATCACTTCGGTACTCTATAGGGTACTGAAATTGCTTTTGAGTTGACCTTTTGAAAGTATTTGCATTCATGTCACTTGAAATGTGCTGATATTATCACTTCACATTTCAATCAAATATTCAGCTAAGAACTGTTATCTATTCCTCACGCTCTCTTCTTTCATTCGTTGTAGCTGATGCCTTACTTTGTGATGTACCTGTTTGGAAGTATGCCGGGTTTGCCTGGTTTGTTTACGTCGGCCGTCTTCAGCGCAGCGTTGAGGTAACGATGCGTCATTTATTTTGCGTTAATACTTACCCCAATCAAGCATTTAAAGGCAATTAGTGTATGTCTCAGTGATCTTTAGCAGTGCATACATTCTTCGATTTGCATTTATTTTGTGTACAATATCACTCTGACACAGCGCGTCAAATTTTCAAACATGCACCCAAATATATTTGTTGCAAATGCTTTTATATAAAACTCCTGTATGAAACAAATCTACTCCATCATCATCAATAGCTAAAAAGGAAAGTTTATGAAATGTCCTGTACAGAGCAAATTGGAGAGGGTCTCGCAAGATACGTCACAGTGTTGGCAGTTTGTGTTTCACTGATGACACCTTTACAACTTCATAACCTTCCTATTTTTAATCGGATATTGCTCAAGCTGTCACTTATTCGTTTTTCTTCTTTTTTCTAGTTTAATAAATACCAGTTTATGACTAGGATGGACTTCCCCTTTAATGATGAACTATTGATTTATAATTATGTTTGCCTTAGTACCGTATCATCTGGTCTTAACTCTCTGGCTGCTGTCACTGCTGAAGACATCGTAAAAACAATCTGGCCGAATATAGAAGAGAAGAAATATACTCTCGTCACCAAGGGTTTGGGTACGTATTATGATGAAGCAAGATATAAGATAGCTCGTACATATACCAAGGAGTGATTGGTCCACAGCTCGTCACGTGATAGCTCTTACATATACAAAGGTGTGATTGGTCCACAGCTCGTCACGTGATAGCTCTTACATATACAAAGGTGTGATTGGTCCACAGCTCGTCACGTGATAGCTCTTACATATACAAAGATGTGATTGGTCCACAGCTCGTCACGTGATATATTTATTATTCTAGAGGGGCTCAGATGATTGGGAATGCAGATTAAAATTCTGTGTCAATGCATTACCAAATCAATTTCATACCTTTCTCCCATAGCAAGATCGCAAAGACTTTCGAGAAAACAAACAATTTATTATTTATCAAAAGAGCAATTTGAAAGACATGTACCATGCGTGTACTTCTCCTTTTGAAATGTGCAATCGTTGTGATGTATTACAGGTAATGGTATTTTTAGTACACTTTGTCTTTGATGATAACAAATACTTGTGGCTTTACGGTGATTTCGTTAACTTTGTTATCTTTTAGTTGTTTTTATTGTTCATTGTTTTTCAATTGCACAGCGCTATTCTTTGGGGTTGTATGCATTGGTATGACGTATGTTGCATCTCAGCTAGGAGGTGTCCTGCAGGTTAGATATGATGTCATTCTATTTGATTTCATTTTAATTTTTATTATAATTTTTTATAATATGATATCAAGTAATTGTATTCTGTATGATTTGATTCATTATGATTTATATTATTATCTTTATGATTTGATATAAAGTAGTTTGATGCAGTATGATTTGATTCCAAGTGATTTGATTTAGTATGATCCGATTTGAAGTGATTTGATTCAGCATGATTCAATTTCATTTTCGATTAGTTAATGTCAATTCAATATTGTACATCCAAGAATGAGAATCTCTTGGTATGGACATTTAATCCTTCTGGTATCACCAACATTTATTCATTTAATGCTCAAATCAATACTTTCATACTTACATGAAATGAATGAAAAAATCATTGAATTTGATATATTGCACGGACACGCCAGTGCATCTCGTTTATACTGTGTTCATGTTTATTTGTTTGTTCTTGTTGACAGGCTGCACTGAGTATATTTGGAATGATCGGAGGACCTCTGCTTGGTCTGTACAGCTTAGGAATGTTCTTCCCCTGGACAAATTCCTACGTAAGAGGCATCACTATTTCATCAAGTTTCTATGTAGTACGAAGATCGCAAAGATTTTCAAGAAATTTTGTCAAGCGCAATTTGAATACCCTTTATTTGTGTATTCCTTTAAAAATAACCTAATTGGGATGATGTAACATAATACTTATTATCATTGCCCTTTTGGTTGCACCAACTACAGATATTTGTTTGAAATTTCGGAGTATAAGATATTCAACGTTACATTTCAATGATAACTTTGAACTTTCATTTTATTAGTATATCTGGAATTTTAAAAGAAATTCGTCTTCCGTTAGCACTTAGATATACGAATGAATATCTCACAACAAAGTATTAAATTAGAAATAAATTGTAAAATTGTACATTGCCATTATTATCAGGTACATTAAGTTGTTTTGTCTGTTTGCTTGCTCGCTGAGTGGATTTAGTTATTTGGCTCATCTTATACTAGGATTCGTATTCACTTCTATATTTTCTCATTCCAGGGGGCCATCGGGGGTACGCTGTGCGGTCTGACTTGGTCCCTCTGGGTGGGAATAGGGGCACAGATCTACCCCCCTGAGATTTACAAGCCCCCTCTCTACACCGCTGGGTGCTACAATGAGAGCCTTCTGACTACCATGGCTATGAGCCCAACCACCATGATGCCCACCGAAGAACCAAGGTTGGTTCAGATGTTCACCCCTTCTACCCATGCCCTCCACCCTCCCCCTTCACCCTCCCCCTTCACCCTCCCCCCCCCCCCCCTCACGCCGAAAAAGAAATTCAGATAGAAGACCTACATGAGATTTACATATCGAACTTGAAATATCTGGACCCCTCCCCCATTTTCTTAATACCTTGAAAATCACGTTGACTTTTTCAGACATTTTTTTTTTTAACGAATATTACTAGCGATATTATTTTCGATTTTTTTTTTTTTTTTTTTTTTTTTTTTTTTTTTTTTAATTTTACAAAGGCTTTCAAGAAATCAAATCAAGGCCAATTGCAATATCTCTTTTATACCAGAATTCAATATCCTCAACAGGCACGACACTTTTCCCCGATAATAATCAGTCGTCCCCCCCCCCCCCCCCCCCCTTCCCACATCCCTGTTTGCGGTTTGCATTGTGAGCGTCTGTAAAAAAAGGCACCTGGCTGGAATGTTTGCAAGGGAGTAGAGAGTGTGCTTACGTTGTGTGAAGGCAAGCCTGACTCACATGACCAGGGTAATGAGATATCGGTTCATTACTTAAAACATCATAAGTGCTTTATAAATACGAAATATTATTCATCATTATTTGTTTATGATTATTATAATTACTTTTTAATTATCATCATTAGTCCATACCACTACTACTACTACTACTACTACTACCACTACTACTACCACTATTGCTAATACTACTACTACTTTACTGCTGCTACTACTACTATTACTGCTACTACTAAAATGATAATAGTGTAAACTTATAGAGGGTACTACTACTACTACTACTACTACTTCTTCTACTACTACTATTATTATTACTACTACTTCTTTCACTACTACAACTACTACTACTACAACTATTACTATTTCTACTATAATAGTTTCACTACTGCTACTACTACTACTACTACTACTACTACATAAACTACTACGACTGCTGCTACTACTACTGCTGCTACTTATAATACTACTACTACTACTACTACTACTACTACTACTTCTACTACTGCTATTGTTACTAAAACAAATGTATATGTTGATATTTCAGACCGGGTATCGCAGAGCTGTACTACCTATCGTACTCCTGGTACAGTGGAGCTGCTTGGGCTCAGACATGTTTCTGGGGGCTCTTGATCAGTTTCCTGACAGGTACGTGTATGGTCTGTTGGAAGGACATTCATCTACCTCTGCCACTCTCTACCCAGGTGTAGTATATGGGCACCTAGTAGAAATGTATTTTCCTGAATGCTTGGAACGCCTTTGAGCAGCTGGCCGAAAGCCAGAATAATAATAGTACTTTGTAGGTTTCTTGGCTAATATGGAATCTAATTAATTGCTTTTTTCTATATACGTCTAAAATGCCTAAACCGAATCTTCTTAATTTTGTTAGTTTGTGTGTTATTGATATATTTGTTCAATGTGCCGCTATGTTTTGTATTAAAGTGTCACCTTACGATTTCCCGACTAGGGATTGAAATGTTGGACCCAAAACAATATTTTGGGTATATTTTACATACACGTAGTACGTGTGACAAATACCTGTATCACTGGCGCGTTCCATTTTATCGTTCCATTCGATGTACAGAGCAGATAAAGAGTTAAATGGTTTGTTTCTCCTGGCAGGTTTCACCGACCCACGTACCATAAACCCGGTCCTGATCAGCCCAATCATTGATCGCATGTACTGCTGTCTACCAGAGTCAATCAAAAAACCGCTTCGATGTGGTGTTGGCGAGCTGTATGTTGCAGATGAAACCAAGGTAAGAAAGGGGTAATATCGATAGCCCAATTGACCGACAGTTTACGGGACCGATAGCCCTAAACCGACAATCCAAAAGACCGACAACCCAAAAGACCGACAGCCCACGAGACCGACAATCCAAAAGACCGACAATCCAAAAGACCGACAACCCGAAAGACTAACAACCCAAAAGACCGACAACCCAAAAGACTGACAACCCAAAAGACCGACAACCCAAAAGACCGACAACCCAAAAGACCGACAACCCAAAAGACAGACAACCCAAAAGACTGACAACCCAAAAGACCGACAACCCAAAAGACCGACAACCCAAAAGACAGACAACCCAAAAGACTGACAATCCAAAAGACTGACAACCCAAAAGACCGACAACCCAAAAGACCGACAATCCAAAAGACCGACAATCCAAAAGACAGACAACCCAAAAGACTGACAATCCAAAAGACCGACAACCCAAAAGACTGACAACCCAAAAGACCGACAACCCAAAAGACCGATAACCCAAAAGACTGACAATCCAAAAGACTGACAACCCAAAAGACCGACAACCCAAAAGACCGACAACCCAAAAGACTGACAACCCAAAAGACCGACAACCCAAAAGACCGATAACCCAAAAGACTGACAACCCAAAAGACTGACAACCCAAAAGACAGACAACCCAAGAGACCGACAACCCACAAGACCGACAATCCAAAAGACTGATAACCCAAAAGACCAACAATCCAAAAGACCGACAACCCAAGAGACCGAAAATCTAAAAGGCAGACAACCCTGGAGACCGACAACCCTAGAGACAAACCCGAGGCTTGGGGCAATACCCCCCCCCCCCCCCCCCCGATAAAATTCAAACGTGGTTTATTTCTAATTCGATACCAGTGACTAATTTACAAATGTTGCCTAAAAAGGAATGACTTTCTCTGAGCTTCCGGGGGCTTTGCCCTGTTTGCCCCACCAAAGGCCCTAAGGCCCCCTGGTTGCTCAGCTGACCATAATTAAATGCCTAAAACACCTGAGCTTCCGTGGGCTCCGCCCCCTGGACCCCACCAGGGCCCTAAGGCGGCCCCTGGATGATCATCTGATCGTAATTTAATGCCTAAAAGCGCTGAGCTTCCGGGGGCTTCGCCCCCCTGGACCCCACTCGGATTTGTGACCTGCATGCAAGTGTCACAAATAAGGTATCAAAATATGCACATCTGACCCTTATTAAATGCCTAAAAACCTGACCCCCGTCGAGACTTTGCCCCAGGACCCAACGCCGATTTACGCTCCACTTGCTTTGTCCTATCTGATCGTAAATACTTAAGCCCCCACCCCCCCCCCTCCCACTTCGAAAAACGTTCCGCGGGGCCTGCTATATAACATGTAAGAGCGGTGATGATTCGGATTTTTTTTTTCTCCCCCCCCAAAAAAAATAAAAATAAATAAATAAATAAATAAATGAACAAGTTTTTGCTCATGACGTCACTCCCCCCTCGTTCCTCGCGTTTCGTCCCCCCCCCCCCCCCCGGGTCATGAAAAGAAATCGCCGCCCCTGCTTGGATGCAATATTTAATTTTGGCACCGAGACCTAGGATAATATGATAACGAGAAAGAAGTCCTTCTTCCTGCTCAGTCATGAGTGGACGTCATGATACCACGGTCCTTATGAAGTTACAATCAAATGTATCTCCCGACATTTAATCCTATATCTTCAAATTAATCGTATTTCTTAAATTCATGTTACAAAAAAAAATGCAATGCATACCAAGATGAAATTAATTGGAACAAGAGTAGAGATATACATTTTTACGAGTCATTGTAAGTCAATATTGTGTTACAGGCCCCATAACTCTTATCAAAGTGAGGAGTGCTGATGTAAACATATCTCCCTTTCTTATTTACGAAAGGAAATTAATCTTGCTCCGTATGACAACTATGCAACCACTCGTTCCCACAAAAAATGGAATGATGCTTCCATTTTTTTGTGATAATCACCTGGAAATGAGCTTGTTGCCGCCCCTTCCCCTTTCTCTCCCGAGGTTTAAAGATATTTTGATTCTTAAAAACATAATTCTATATATCAAAGACGGGTAGTGGGAGCAAAATATGTCAGAATTAACAATTTACCATGCACGGTAGCCTAGTAGAGTCGGTGTGATATCTATAGGAGTGCATTTGGCACCTTGCGTGGTGGATATTTGCGCTATAAAAATAACCAATAGCATACAAGAAAAAGAGAAAAGGGCCATCTACGTATACCACTGTATAAAACAACACAAGGCAAATTTTCAGTAACTTGTGTAGGAACCCGATTATGGAATGAACTTCCCGATGAAATCAAAAACAAAGGGTCTAGAAACACTTTTCGTAAACATCTCAACGATTACTTGATGAATAAGTGATTGAATTATGCAAGTACACATGTATATATTGTAAATAATCTCCATATTACATTTTTGTTGTTTTTTTTTGTCAAAAAAATGCAATTTTTTGTATAAATAATCTGTAGATACATGTATCTATGACTTTTTAACCTGGTATATCCTCTTCATAATTATATTTGGAGTGTAGAAATTGTGCTACGGTATTACTCAACATGTATACTTCTACTGTCAAGTTTTATTTTTTGATAATGATATATTTATTTTTGCCAAGTGTGTGCTAAGAACAGGGGCCAGACTCGACTAGCACATGTGCTATTATTTGGCTCCTTTTCATCACCTTCTATATTCTATGAGAAAAGACATATGTCTAGCATATCAATACTTTGTTAGGTTTTTCTTTAATATGATCTATAATATTCATTTATGAACATGTACCATTCACGATGTATTCAAATGTTTAATCACTGATGTTATTGATGATGAATAAATAAAATCAAATCAAATCAAATCAAATTATTATTGTTATTATTATTATCATTATTATATTGTTTGTTTTTGTCTGTGGTTGTTATTATCGTCATAATTATCACCATCATCATTATCATCATTATTTCAAATAAAGAAAGTGAAATTATTCATATCATAGTTAAATCTAATCAATTGCATTCATTGTCTTGATGTAGGACGACACCGCGATGGAAGTCAAGTATGGCAACGCCGCCTACGTCGTAGATGAACCAGACGAGGCATACCATTCTCAAAATGGGGAGAACAAGGTATGAGTAGACATCATTATGATTGTCATTTATTTATTATTCATTAATATTTCACCAGGGTAGCCTATTCATCAAAAGTTGATCTTCCAGGGAGGCCGGGAAATACATCATAACTATTATACAATTCTAAAAAAGATGAAATACAATCAAAGTAGCAAATATATAGCAAATTAATAATATAATTTACACATTATCAACCTCACGGTTTTAAATGCTAAACTTGATATTTAGGTGGTCTCAACAGATCACCTATCGATTTCGTCAGAATTTTCTTCCTTAATTATTATTCTTCCTTCTTTTTATTTATTTCCGCCCACGCAGTAGTAGTAGTAGTAGTAGTAGTAGTAGTAGTAGTAGTAGTAGTAGTAGAAGTAGTAACAGTAGTAGTAGAAAAAGTAGTAGTAGTAGTAGTAGTAGTAGTAGTAGTTGTAATAGTAGTTGTAGTAGTAGTAATAGTAGTAGTAGTAGTAGGAGTAGTAGTAGTAGTAGTAGTAGTAGTAGTTGATGTTGTAGTAGTAGTAGTAGTAGTACTAGTAGTAGTAGTAGAAGTAGTAGTAGTAATAGTAGTAGTAGTAGTAGAAAAAGTAGTAGTAGTAGTAGTAGAAGTAGTAGTAGTTGATGTTGTAGTAGTAGTAGTAGTAGTACTAGTAGTAGTAGTAGTAGTAGTAGTAGTAGTAGTAGTAGTAGTAGTAGTAGTAGTAGTAGTTGATGTTGTAGTAGTAGTAGTAGTACTAGTAGTAGTAGTAGTAGTAGTAGTAGTAGTAGTAGTACTAGTAGTAGTAGTAGTAGTAGTAGTAGTTGATGTTGTAGTAGTAGTGGTAGTAGTACTAGTAGTAGTAGTAGTAGTAGTAGTAGTAGTAGTGTGTACAGGATCAATCAGGATCTGCTTTGTTAATTTCTTTCAATTTTGGCTCATTAATAGATCATTGTCATTAGACGTGGCAACACTTTCCAGGTCATCAGTGTACCGTGACGTCACCCAGGCACCATTTTGTGAAATATTCTGAAAGTCACCTCATGATCATATCTTCATTATGGAAAGTCATTTCTCATTCATATATCATGGTTTAGGTCATTGTCAGTCCGGTCAAGTTCAAATAGTTAGTCGCAGTTCGCGCGCAATTTTTTTTTAAAATGCTCTAAATCGTCTAATTTGTTTGCATACTTTTTAGGCAATTCAGAGCATTTCAAAATAAAATCGCGCGCGCGTTTTCCTTTTTTATGGCCGTACGCAACATTGAATCGCCTTTTTCCTGCTCTCATTATATTTTCCATTTTTTCCAAACAATTTGATACCATGTTTATCTCTTTATGACCATTAATAACGAAATGAGCGTCTGGTCAAAACAAATGTCTGTGCGTGCGAGCTCTTGTAATACATAGCATATATGTGCAAAAACTTGCATAAATCCATCATAGCTCTTTAGGATGTCCAGATACCCCCCATTTTTTCCATATTTGGATAGAATATGAGTCGGAGATATGATTTCATGTCTCATTTGGCCTTTAAGTAAATCGTGACATTATCATAATGGCCTTGGAACTCATAATACGAATTTGCATATTATGACGTCAGCATATTTATGGAAAATTGATTGTATCTCTGTATATTATATTGATCGATTTTCTTCCAAATTTTGATATGTTGTAGCAGAGACAATTCTCTACAAAATAGGTTATTCTGATTAAATAACAGACCACCTTATTCGTTCCAATAACGAATGAAATTTCTCGTTCTATTTTATTTCCTAAGTTCTTAAAGACGTTCTTCGATTGTATTTATTCATTATGCTAGCCCTGTTATTCAGGAAATTACATATACTTATGCATATCTTTTTTCGCCTCTTTTCGTTTCTCCCTTATCTTATTTTTCCTATTTGTGTTATTTCATCTTTTTACCATTTGTATCAAACCGCTATTTTGTTTGTTACTACTCTTATTTTCAGTTCTTGAATTTGTATTTTCCTTCTTTATGAAGGACCATTATGTAAACAGCTTGTGAGCTGATCAAAGATGAAAGATGTTTTAATAAATAAATAAATAAATACATTTCTCATCCACTCTTAGCCTAAACTCAATGGTGATGCAATGCCCGAGCCCAAGTTCAAGGAAGTCGGAACACAGTTCTCAAGCAACTCCGAAGACAGCAGATTGTAAAATAAGCATCATAGCTCCAACCAGGACCCCGATTCATAAAACCTATTATCTTTATTCTTTCTTTATTCACTTTATTCAATCTCACAAATGAATCACATAGGCGAAGAAGACAAAAAGAACATAGGGGATCTAAACGTGCACATTAATGAAAGTATTCCGAGACAAGACAGGAAGGCCGATCCTATGCTAAAGTCTGTCTCTATTCATTTTTATCAAAATAACATTGTACATTACTTCAATTGTTTTTTGGGGTAGAAAGGGAGAAGAGGAAATAATTTACTTACATGCAGTATCAACATCGACCGTAACATTTCTATCACAAATTTTCCAATCAAATGCAACTACACCTGTAGTAGCTTTGTTATTGATAACAAGTTTTATGAGACAGGGTCCAGGTCGGGATTCCCTATTTTTAACCGAAGGTCCACGAGACCAACAGGTTACGCACAAGGACATCTTTAAGAAGATGATTAGCTCATTCAGCTGTCAACGCAAGCAACAAATTTTTTTCACAGAACTGTACATAATCGTTGTTGTATAAACAGGTGATTAATAGATTATGTTAACAGCACAAAATACGGAGTATTTTAAAATGAGATTACGATAGAGCCTCGATGTTAATTTTCGTTTTAAGTTTCGCTTTTACTTATGACTATGATGCAGTACTAATTTCACTAAATATAACGTTTGTAATACGTGGAGGATACGTAACGTCGCATGAACTACGTATGTCCATTGCACACGAGGCGTTACTTGATAGCGCAGGATTGCGTCAGTTGATGACGCATGGCTGCGTCAGTGGATGCCGCATGGCGTGATGATCCACAGGCCATGTGAGACTGACAGCATACATTGATTGATTCAATGATTATTATTTCTTTCTAATTGGTTTTCGGTGTATTTATCCAAGGTTGATTAACTAGCATTATGTAGGTTAATGATTCATTGTCGTAGCTAAAATAAACATGCATTTATTTTATTTCTGTTCTAACTAATGTTCCGGTTCTGGTATTCAAGATGAATTTGTTATGTTTGATTTATGCATTGAATGTAATCAAAAAAGAATATTGAGGAAAACAATACAAATAATTGAATGCTACTATTTGCTGACGCAAGCCTTCGTATCATTGGATAGCATGATGCTCCCCGTGCCATATAAGACAGAGTGTATACTAAATGTACATGCTAAGAAATGAATAATCCAGACATTGCTTAGGCATATTTGATACCTTTACTCGTGGGCTGAAGGACACAATCGTAATGTAACTAAATTGAATACATACGTCTTTGTGAAGTGCCTCGGTACGAAAGATTAACATGTGTCCTACCTACCGCATTCATGATATTGAGATATTTTTATTCATAATAGTTGAAAGAAATAATTTGAATCGGGACACTTCACCAATACGTTATATCAAATTTGATTACATTACGAAAATGGCCCATTTAAAGCGATAGGCATTAGTCTAGACAGTAGACCGGATTACTCACATATTCAAATTTTAAGAATACTCTTTAAAAGAAAAAGGTTGATCATGACGACCTGAAAGCTTGCCCAAGGCATGTCCGACATAACAACAGGTAATAAAAACCAACTGGATTCTAAATATTGAATTTCATTAATAAGGGAGTTTACAGATACAATCTGCGCGTGGGCAGATAAAGGTCATTTGTACCAAAATGGTAAAACTCACAGACATGAATACTATGCGCTCACGAAAGTTATGTAACATTATTCATTTATGCACCAACGGTACATTCTATAATAGGGAGGTGGGAGTATTCTTTTCAAGAGGTCAAACAAAAGGTATTCATGAAGCACATCTAGGACTTTGGCAGTTATTATTCTAAGATGCTCAAAGTGGAACTTCTCCATGTGTAAAAGATCTATGGATATTTGGGGTCATCTGTACCATGTGCTATCTGTAAACTCCCTTTTTAATAACAGGTTAATGGAATAACTCGTCACTAGGTCCCCAGGAAAGAAACATTCATAAATTTGAATGGGTTAGTTCACCGGTCTGTTCATGTACATTGTAATGTGGAAATAAACATTGATTATTTGAAAAGACTTAAAGGTACTATGTCCCTTTTGCATTCAATCTCAAATTCTGTAGAACTTTGCAGGAATTATGAATATGTCATGTATGTCCTATCTGTGAAATTTAAACGTTAGCAGTGTCCTCATATTCAAATTATGCAAGGAAACCCGTTTACTTGCTAGACTTCACTATCAGACACTACTGAGTGACTGACTGGCCTTTTTTCTTCTTTGGTAATAACATACATGAAAAGAGTTGTAAAGGGTACATGAGCATTTGTCTACATCAATAACCCACTTCTTGTGATGGCAAATATTAAACTGATTGAATCTTTGCGCAGCATAAAACGTATGACCATTCAGTACAATGGTCTGAAAATCAAGACTATTACTTTTGGGCTCTATAGCCCTAAAGTCGATTTGACAACTAATAGTCATTATTTTTCCACTTGAAGACATTTTCAACCCCTACCTTTTATAGGGAAGTTCTAAATTAGTATTATCTTTCAAATGCAGTTGGAATTTAACTTTTTCATTTTTTGGCCTGCAAATGGGACATAGTACCTTTAACAAGTTAACTATATCAGTTAAAGAATATATTTTAATGGTGTAAAAACAGAGTGTTCTTTATTACGTCTAAAGTATTTTCATATCGAGTGTATTCAGATCTATTACCTTTCGTAGCTAAGAGACTTTAACAGGTAACTATTTGAAGTGAACATTTATTGAATAGAATTGTTGATATGATTATGATCCGTTGAGGTTAATTAAGTAAGCTCAATTATTTAAAGCCGAGAGATGTCTAAACACTTTACAAAATAGCATTAAGTACAGTCGTAGGTATTTTAGAAAAGTCAACATCAGGCGCGTACGCAGGGGGTGTTTGGGGGGTTAAACCCGCCCCCCCCCCCTTTGGTATTTTTATGTGTATAAACCCCCCCCCCCCCCCCTTAAAAAAAAAAAAATTAAAACCCTCCTTTTTTTTTTTTTTTTTTTTTTTTTAATAATAAAAAATAAAAATAATAAAAAATTATTCCCATGGCTGACCTGAAAAAGGTGACCTTACCCCCCCCCCCCCCAACAGTGCAAAATGTCAAATTTTCAAATTTCGAGACCAAAAAAAAAAAAAATCCTGCGTACGCGCCTGGTCAACATCATAAATTGGTTAAATTGGTATATGGACCAAAAGAATGGAATTTGCCGCACGATCTTTGAATTTGGAGGACTTCATTTCATGATATCCACACCTAAGCTTTGATTAAATGTAGACTTTTTTCTGAAATGAGGTGAAGTCTCAATATCATTAGTTCATTTGAATGCTTGATATTTAAAGACGTAATATGTAAAGAAAAATAATTTTACAATATCTCATTCACACTCAATGTATAGTTTAGGTTCAATGTTAAGCAGACCTGATGTTAAAATATACTCTTAGTAATAAACTTACCATTGTATTTCGTTTTTCTATTGTCATGAAATTAATTAAACGGTGTTACAGAAAGGGCAGAACTGTGAATGTGTCTATTCTTTTTGTCTTTTATATTGAAAAAGTGATTGGTCATTTTTCTGAAAGCCCATTCCCTGACTTTACGGATCCGTTGCATGCCCAGTGTATAGTTTGAAGTTTGAAGTTTATTAACAACAACAAAATGGATGTACATCATAAAACAAAGTAGCAATGCAGAACAATAAAATACAAACTGTACATAATGTAAAAAACAATGAATTACTGCAAAAGCTTAATTAATGCTTACATAAAAAACTTTTTTTTTTATACAAAAATTCAAGTTGTTGCTAAAAGAAAACCCAAAGTGAGCACACGTGCTAGTCGAGATCGGTTTTCTCTGTTCATTATATATATCGACAGTGTCTCTTTTCATTTCTATAGCATAACACTAGTTCTTACACTTATATTGTATACTTTTAAAATACAAAACATTACTAACTGCTAACATAACAGATAATATATTGCGCCATATTGCTACCGAAATACTGTCATGTCCATATTATTGATATATAGCGGCACAAGGTTGCCTTAGATAAAGGTCAAGTAAGTCTATATATATATATGGTATTTTAATGGCAAACTATCACACACGGACTTTTAATAATAAAAATAATAATCTTTTTTATTCCACTCCAAATTTTATTAAACCAAAACGAAAATTCGTGAGCCCGGCAGCCACTGAGCAGCGCCAGATCGACGTTGCTCTATCCCTTATTGTTGAACGCCAAACAAGGTAGCATCTTTTAACGTCTTTTGGTGTGACGCGGCCGGGGATCGAACCCACGACCTCCCAGTTGTGAGGCGGACGCTCTACTGACTGAGCCAACACTCCGGTGTTTAATAAGATTACTTGATAATCCTGAAAGTTTTCAACACAAGATTAGGGAAGACTCAAATGTATGATATAGGTATTATACAGTGAGAGTCAAAAAAATTACACCTAGAAAATTGGTAATTATTTAAAAAATCATCTATGAACAGTAAATTATTATACATCTTATGAAAGAGTGTGTTATCCCAAATCATTTCTTTGGTATCATCTTTGTGTGTTATGTGTTCAGGCTTGGATGGCCAGGAGACATTGTCCAAGAGGGTGCAGAAATCAACTTGCGCCAAACGGCTTCATATGTGATGTTTGAATAAAACGATTGGGATTTGGGTATTAATTCGCTCTTTGCAGATCAAAATAACATTCCTAACAAAATTAATCATGCCACACATATCAAATATCAAATACCAAACATCAAAGAACAATTGTGCGCGTTTTTATATGTGTGTGACTTTGCTGATGCAAAATGCACAATGCAACGCATCATATTTGATACATTCAATTCATTCTCTCACTTTTATACTTTTGCGCATGTCGATTTTGGCACTCTCGCAAACAATGCCTCCTGTTCATCCAAGCGTGAACACATACCACACAAAAATGATACCAAATGATTTGGGATATGATCCTTTTTCAAAACAGGTATGATAACCTTTCGTTCATAGCTGACTTTTAAAATAAATGACAATTTTATGAGTGTAAGCTTTTTTTTTTTACTCACACGGTAGAGTGATAAAGTCGATCGACACAAATTGTTGAATCGATCTTCCATATGTGCCAAGATAACACAACGCCATCGCATCATTGTTTCGTTACAAAGGATGCGCGCATCTGTTGTACCTTTCGCGTGGGTCATAGTTGGGGTTAATGCATTGTTTCGTCATAATTAATGCATACATTTGTGTTGTAGGCGCGCAATGCGCGTAGCAACGAAATTTGTGTATAAATTCGGGCGGTTTTGTTTACTTTTTTCACTAGTGATCTTTTCACAGTTCCCGCCAGATGCTCGATATATTCTTATCATCATCTAGCATTCAAATCGTTCGTTTTCTTCTGTGAATTTCATCATGTGCCAATCGTTTGAGTTGCATCAAGATATTATGGAAGCCCAGGTAATTTTCTCATGTTTTTTTAATACCGTAAGGAAAATCAAGAAAATATATATACGATGAATCATGACAAAATAAAGATATGATATACGACGAGACGATAAAACAATATGCGTGAAGATGTCTATTTTGCGATAAAGAACAGTGAAAAAAATAAATACAATCAATTAAACAAAAAATTATAACTTATGAAATTATAGGCTTGATCAATTATCTTTCAAATTTAGCATTTTGGGAGTTAAAATAATATATTCATTGAAAACATTGTGTTATTCTGTACTCCCTATTCAGGGCACGGAGCAAAACAAAAAAGTGCGGACATACTTCCTTCTTTTTTTTTATTATTTGAAAGAATTTAATAATTTGATAATTGCAATGAAATATGTATAATCTGATTGTTTTTGTTAAAGCAGTATAATTTGTTCGAGATCCTATTTTCGGATTGTCAAGTGATAATAACTTTGACTAACTTAATGAATATTACAGTTATAGCTTTTGAAAGTTACAGTGGCTCCTTCTCCTTCGTCTTTATCTCCTCCTCCTGTTCTTCTTCTCCTCTTCCTCTTCTTCTCTTTCTGCTCCTTATCATTCTTCCATTTCTTCCTCTTCTTTTTTCTTCTTGTTCTTAACTTCTTCTTCCTTTCTTCCTTCATCTTTTCCTTCTAATCCTCTTTCTTTCTCTTCTTCGTTTTCCTACTCTGTGATGGATGAACAATCAAACTTACAGTATTGCCTTCCAGCTACGATCAGTTACGTCGACGAAACCATCGAATGGTCTCCTCCTGCCAAAACGTGGTTCGAGAGTGAGACTTCGGATCCCACAATTCCTGCTAGGTCCTGGACCGTAAATGAGACCAAAATGTTCCCGACCAAGACCAGGATCTCCCTGAAGGCCAGAGCCAAAAGTCCTGCGATCCAGACACGGTGCAGGGATAAGACCGGTGTCCAGGGAGACCGCATTGTTCCATCCAAGACCAGGGTCAAGATTGAAGCCAAACCGAGCAAGGTCAGTATAACAACCAAAATTAGTTGATTAATGTAAAATATATATTTCTAAATGAATCTCTATGTTTGTAATCAGTGGATATCAACTTTTAAATATAGTTGAGGATGTGAAATTGTTTACCTGCTGTGTTACAAAACTTTTTAATAAAGTAAGAATAATGTTTTTTAATTAGTTTCATGACTTTGTTTAATCAGATTTGCTTTACAAATAATATACCTTTTTCTTTATTCAAAAACAAGAAAAAGAATCCTCTACAAGATAAGTTTGCGTTATTGTTGTTCTCGTTTCTTTGCATTGAAAGAGCGGAATGATAATTTTTTGATTTATTTCGGGCTTTTATAAACAGTGTTTTATAAATAACAGAGATCTTAGTATAAATGCTTTAAACACTGCCAATGACAACCAGGAAGTCTATAGCTCTCATGTTTGTCCCCTTTCAAATACAGTTTGTCATGAGCCGACCAGCACACGTCATCACTGACTTCAACAAGCTTCAAAAACCCACCCCAATCCAGGAAGTTGCCCCAGTACCTCGAGCAGCTCCGCCCACCAAGCTAGTCTGCAATAACAACATTCTGATCTCCATTCAAAAAGGAAAGCAGAATCAGAAAGCAGACGAGAAAGTGCGCCTCAGAAAGGTAAATATAATATTCAAAAGGCAGAACAAATCATTTCAACTGGTAATGTATTTTTTTTTTAATACTTTTTTCAAATAAATCGTGTTGGCCTTTTATTTTTCCAGGGCTTTAACGAGAATGTACGTCAAAAAAAAAAAAAAAATACTTGTCAATAGTTACTATAGCCCTGAAACCTACATCGTTTTTGCCACTAGATGGAGTACTTCCAATAATTAGGCTGCGTTCACACCCCAGTGCTAAATCCATAGAAAAGCAATAAGACAGAGAAGAGTTAACTCTGATAACGATGAAAAACAATCATGTATAAAATAAAATAATATTGTACATTTTAAATAAGTTTCAAACCAAAGATTACAAATTGAAAATATATTTTAGACCATTCTTTTGTCATGATGCTTTACAACTACTAATTTAAAAGACATTTTTTCAGTGGTAGTAGCGCCAAATTAACCTTATCTATACTTGTTCATCGAATGATTTCTAAGTTTAAAATAGCTTGAAATAATGTTTGATTAGAATTGGCCGATATAACTCATTGTAGTTATAACTCACTTAATTGTTTCCTGATATTTCACTCAAGTTACATGATTCACTGATATTAAATACTCTTTCATCTTTCTTCTTTGTTCGTTCGTCTTATTTAGAATCGGAAGAGCCGTCGGCGGTCTCGAGAAAATGGCGATTCTTTCCGGAGGTTTGCGATCAAGAATGCTTGGCGGGCGAGCCGAGTGCAGTAAGGAGAGGCCACTGAATGATCGAATAAAATTGGGGAAATTTAAATCATCCAAGTTTGACCTGAGATATTTGTTGAGTGTAAATAACTCCTAGATCGATTAAGTAACTGACTGATTGAATGACTGACTGATTGATTTGTTGATTGTTTGGTTGATTGATTGTTTTGTTGGTTGTTCGAATGGTTGATTGATTGATTGATTGATTGATTGACTGATTGATTTGTTGATTGTTTGGTTGATTGATTGTTTTGTTGGTTGTTCGGATGGTTGATTAATTGATTGATTGATTGACTGATTGATTTGTTGATTGTTTGGTTGATTGATTGTTTTGTTGGTTGTTCGAATGGTTGATTGATTGATTGATGGATTGACTGATTGATTTGTTGATTGTTTGGTTGATTGATTGTTTTGTTGTTTGTTCGGATGGTTGATTGATTGATTGATTGATTGAATGATTGACTGATTGATTTGTTGATTGTTTGATTGTTTGGTTGATTGATTGTTTTGTTGGTTGTTCGGATGGTTGATTGATTGATTGATTGATTGAATGATTGACTGATTGATTTGTTGATTGTTTGGTTGATTGTTTAGTTTGTTGATTGGTTGGTTGATTGATTATTTGATTGATTTTGCTGAGTGATGGATCGAGTAATCGACGACTGGAATGATCATTATTGAATGACTGACTGTCTAATGTTGTTTATCAGATCTATGAATGATTGATTGATTGAGGAGGAAAATGGTGCTCGACTTTACCGTTCGTATTTCCTGATTTGTTATGTTTGATTGAAAGATGGATAGATGATGACAATATCGATCGATTAATTTGATTCGTTGGTTGATTGGTTAGTTTGTTGTTTGAATGTTTACGCTGGTTGATTTGTTTACCTCTTAAGAATTCTGTAAACAAATATTTTCAGCACACATGTACTACAACGTTAATCATTTACTGCACATTGCAAGATAACATGACTACAGCAAGAGGCAGAATGTAAAATTAAACTTATCTTTATTCAATAATGCGAGAAATGCCTTCTACAAAATAGTGTCATTTCAGTGGCCAGGGCAGTTTGGAAGTTGTTTATTGCACAAACTTTGAAGAATGGATTGCAGTTAACAGATTTCAAAATTAAATACCGAAGAAAGTGTAGTATAATAACAATTCATAAGATTCAATATAAGTCGCTGAATCCACTTCAGCGACTTGAAATCAATTGCTCAAGACGCACTTGTAAAACAAAGAACAAGAAGAGAACACATATAAGCATCAGAACAGAAAGTAACACAGAACATGCAAAAAAATGACAGAACAAGAAATCATATGCCGAACTAAACAGATACGTTTTAAGATTATTATTAAACACTTCAGCTGATTTGCTATTACAAGACTCTCGAGGGGGCATGCCACAGCGAAGGCCTTGCGTGAACAATGGTAGAGGAGGACAGAAGAGCGGGGGAGACAAGAGAGAAAATCTTCATCTTCATATCTTCATTTTCCTTTCGAAACCTTCAAATCTACATTCCATTTCCAACAACTAAAGGAAACGATCATTAGAATCAATCATAGTGCTACAGTCTTTCTCTAATAGGATAGGCCACATCATGGATATAATCGATGGCGCTGATAAGACTAGAAGAAGAAAAAAACACCAAAGAGGCATTTTTTTTTACACAAAGGGATTATAATAATCTTCATACCTTAACCTTTCTAATAAGCTTTTCGAGAAGAAGGCCGCACATGCAGCTCTAAGCAAAAGTCTATAACTATTATTTTCTTCTTTTGAATAATAGAAGTATTTCAACTATGAATATTATAGCTGCTACAAAAAGTTACAAAGACGTGACAAGACAATCAATAAAAAGATTCGTTTTTAAAGTCAAAGATTAATTCTTGAAAGACCAGGGTCTTTTGGTTGGAAACCAGCATTTAACAAATTTGATACAGCAGCGACTTAAATGTCAGGTTTTGTTTGTTTGTACGTTGTTTTCTACGTATTATTTATTTTTCAATATTCTTAGTAGTAAGGGTCAATCATGTGTGGTCATTTACAATTAAATTATTAAATTTATGTTGAATCAATTTACAATAACGAATGATTTAGTTTATCACTTTAATTTTGTCCTAAGTTTTGTGTCGGCACCGTCCCGCTCTTTTCTGGAGCCTCCATGCTTGAGAGTACGAGTGAACTCACGGTAGTCAAGGAAACCGTTTTTGACGGGCGCGCCGCGCGTGAGCTCTTCCATCTCCTCTTCGGTGAATCGTCTTCCCGTCGTCATCATCATCTCTCGGAATAGATCCTCCGGTATGGAACCTGGGGGAGAGGGGTGAGACAAAGTTGGTTTCTTGATTTGCTCTCCTCATTCAGATACTCATAAAGAGTGACCGTTAAGTTCATTACTTGACCCCCCCCCCCCCTTTTTTTTTTTAAATTTAGGTCGCATGTTTGTTTGGTCCATGTTAACCCTAACCTTTACACTAGCTTGTCCACGTTGCATAAAACTTAGCATTGATGGTAACTTTGCCATTAATAATACTGTAACTTCCAAGGTAACCTTAATTTAATTGGCTGTTGAGTGATGTTTCCATGGTAGATGATATTGATGGCAAAGTTACCATCAGTGGTTAGTTTCATGCAACAGGACCCTGATGTTCTTTTCACCGTTTGCGAAATTCAGCGAAATAAAGTAAATTAAAGGGATAGTTGAGTTCTGTTTTCAGACCGTATATGCCTTCAAAGTGCATGGTTATTGCTCTTTTTCTTATCTATGACACTTATAGTGCTCTTTTAGAACCTAAAATTGCTGTGAAGGTAATGTTAGACCCCCAAATGTGTGAAATTTAGCCAATACGATCATACCAATTCAGCTCCACTTTAAAAAAACACGGTGACCGTTAATTAATTATTTAATTTAAAACAACAATACATGAGCCGGCTGATTGTGGGTAATATAAGCAACACGAAAATGCCAACAAAAAAGCCAACATCGGCATTGGCTAAAATACGACGTAAAAGGCGTTATTTCGTGTTTTTTTTCAACGGTTTTCAACGGTTTTTTCAAATTTTTCAAAATATCTAATATTTATGGTGGTACACAAGTATTAGAAATCGTTATATTTCAGCCGTCTTTGAACCGATTTTGATCAAACAAAGATGATTTTGTCATTTAAATAGTATGTTCTTTCAAATTTGTCATTCGGTTTTTCATTATCTCACAAAAAAAATATTTTGTGTAGCGCCCTCTGCAACAGAACTCAACTATCCCTTTAATGTGTATAAAACATTATCATACACATCTTCTTTTCCACATCAGTCTTATTTGTAATATTTATAATCATTTTTAGTGAGTTTTTATTTTAAAATAGCAATCTAATATCGACGATGTCGACTTTACTAATATTCACATAATAATGCCCGTGGAACACGAGGCGTCCTTTTAGTGACGTATCACTACGTCATCGGCTGACATGACATGACATGTAGTAATATTAGTTAGAGAAAAATGGACGCTGCGTTGAATTACTGAGGCACTATAGTTCCCCCTTCTTGGGTTTAATTGACGAATAACGCAATCGAAATGACGCCGTGTGTGTAAGGGTCATTACATTAAGGCCCTTTGCAATTTCAGAGCGACCAGTTCACACCAAGGGGATGTTTCATGAAAAGTTCCTGGCATTAGTTACTCAAGGGACGTACAAATCGTAGTCACAATTTACAGAATTTACCTTTTTAAGAAAAATTATTATCTAAAGATAAAGTTGAGAGACCAATTGTGAAAGCAACCAGTGGCATGAACAGCCTGCCATATAGTTACAGTCCAACTTAAAGTCTTTGTAAAACACCCCCACCCCCCCCCCCCCCCCACAGGTGTCACTTCCTGACGTAGGACTGCGTCAACGACTGACCTGGCCTTTGACGCACCATATTAGTGTCGTAAATTAATGTACAAAAAGTGAGTGGGAAATTAGCAGAGCGACGAGTGCGTTGAATTACTGACGTATGGGTCAATAGCCTTTACATTAGCGCTGGTAATATCGCAATCAAATTAACGCCTCGTGTGCAATGGTATAACTTTATTTATAGACATACCAGTGCCGTCGTCATCAAGGTACCCGAAGGCATCTAGGATGACATTCTCTGGGTCGGTACCCTGCAGCTTCTCGCCGAAGAGTGTTAGGAACATGGTGAAGTTGATAGGTCCTGGAGCCTCGTTTATCATCGTGTCAAGCTGCTTCTCAGTAGGGTCCTTACCTGCATGTAACAGTAATGATAGGATAACAATAAGGGAGTTTACAGATAGCACATGGTACAAATGACCCCAAATATCCACAGATCTTTTACACATGGAGAAGTTCCACTTTGAGCATATCTATAATAATAATACGCTAAGGCTCCGCGGGGGGGGGGGGGGCATGACGTCTCCGCCAGCCTTTGTATTCTATTGTTTTTTAATGAGATCGCCGACCGAAGTTGGTGCAGCTATCTCCTCCTGAACCCTCCCCCTCGGGGTCCCGGTGACCGGTTCCATCGTCCGCGGGAGAGTCTACTCTGTGGAATTGGCTATACTCCGCCCGAGGTCCTCCTCCGTGTCGACGTCCAGGGCGAAAACAGACGCGATATGCATAATGCAGGATATGCGTGACAACAGAGATACCTCATGCATATTCAACATTACATCCGTATCAAAGAGACACACGACAGATGCCGAGCAACTCACATTATGTTGCGTATTAAATGCTCTATGCAAAGGGCGGGATTACCCCCCGAGTAAGCCATCTTGCTTTAGGGTGTGCTTTGTACTAGCTGCAAAAGCCCGAGAGATGCACGGGGCTAATTCCCGTCGACGTCCAAACTTAGAGACCTGTTTCCATCATGATTGCCGCGATTTTTATATAGTTTGCGTGAATGGAGGTATGAAATCAAAGCTTATTTTGTGATTACTACGGCCATGTATACTGAATTTTGACGTATTGCGTACCAACTACGCTGGCCTTCGTTACTATATGCTGAGGGACGGAAAGGGGTACGCAAGATAAACAAAAACAATTTGACATGTTTAATTTTTTTCACATACTTTTGGTGTAGAAACTTGACGCAGAAAGTACGCCTTTTTACGCAACAGTACGCTACCCTACGCCAGATCGACAAAGCAGTAAAAGCTTTCCACACAGTAAGCAACCATAAGCAAACCTGTACGCCAGCTTACGCATAACCTACGCATGGACTATTTTCCCATTAATACGCAACCTAATTTCTGCGTAGTCAGTACGCCACACTACGGAACTGGTACGCAAGATGAACGAAAACAATTCAACATGTTTAATTTTTTTCGCGTACTTTCGGCGTAGAAACATGACGCAGAAAGTACGCCTTTTTTACGCAACACTACGCTACATGCCTACGCAACAGTACGCTACCCTACGCCAGATCGACAAAGCAGTAAAAGCTTTCCACACAGTAAGCAACCATAAGCAAACCTATACGCCAGCCTACGCATAACCTACGCAGGGACTATTTTCCCCATTAATACGCAGCCTAATTTCTGCGTAGTCGGTACGCCACACTACGGAACTCTACGCAGGTCCAGTGGCTTAAAGAATAACTACCGGTACAGTTCGATCGTTTTTTTTTTTTTATATAAGGCCAAATTAAAAAAAAACATATTTAGCGTCCTGTTTTTTCGAAAAATGGGAAGGAGGAGGCCCTTTTTTCTTTCTTTTTTCAAAATGGCCGCTACGTACATTTTCCCAGACATTCGGGCTTTTTTTCAAGATGGCGGCCGACAATTTTTTTTTTCTTTTTTAAAATCAGAAATACATTTTAGCAACAAAAAAAAATTCAAAAAAAAAAAAAAATAGGAGGCGGCCCCCAAAAAGGAAGCGGGCGGGGACGCTGTTTTTTTTTTCTTTCAAAAAAAAAAAAAAAAAAAAAAAAAATATTCAAAAAATTTCAAAAAAAATAAAATAGGAGGCGGCCCCCAAAAAGGAAGCGGGCGGGGACGCTAAACATATATATTTTTTTTTAATGGCCTGAATGGCAAATAAAGTTCTTGGTGGTTTTAATTTAGACAGTCTCTATATATCCATTTACACCCCCGCCCCCCTCTAGAATCCCGCGGATTTCCGCGGGTCCTGCTAGTTAGAATAATAACTGCCAAAGTCCTAGATGTGCTTCATGAATACCTTGTGTTTGCCCTCTTGAAAAGAATACTTCCACCTGCGTATCATAGAATGAACCGTTGGTGCATAAATGAATAATGTTACATAACTTTCATGAGCGCATATCCAGTATTCATCTCTGTGGGTTTTACCTTTTGGGTACAAATGACCTTTATCTGCCCATGCGCAGATTGTATCTATGAATTGGCTTATAGAATTAATGATGATGACGAGGATGATGATGATGATGGTGATAATGATAATAATAATAGTGTAAACTAGAGCTCACAAACGTTCCAGGGACGCTCACGGCGCTAGCTCAGCAACAGTTCTCTTTTAATACAAGTACAAGTACAGTAAAAGTTTATTTGATAATAGAGTTTCATTATCAGAAACTAAAAAACAATTGTGCAACATTTGTATCACATTGATGATGACTATGATGACGGTGATGACGATGATGATAATTATTATGATGATATTGATGGCGATGATGATGTTGGTGATGGTGATGATGATAATTATTATGATGATATTGATGGCGATGATGATGATGTTGGCGATGATGATGATGATGATGATGTTGGTGATGATGTTGATGATGATGATGATGATAATTATTATGATGATATTGATGGCGATGATGATGATGTTGGCGATGATGATGATGATGATGGTGATGATGATGATGATGATAATTATTATGATGATATTGATGGCGATGATGATGATGTTGGCGATGATGATGATGATGATGTTGGTGATGGTGATGATGATGACGATAACGATAATTATTATGATGATATTGATGGCGATGATGATGATGTTGGTGATGATGATGATGATGATGATAATTATTATGATGATATTGATGGCGATGATGGTGATGTTGACGATGATGATGATGATGATGATAATTATTATGATGCTATTGATGGCGATGATGATGATGTTGGCGATGATGATGATGATGATGGTGATGATTATGATGATGATGATAATTATTATGATGATATTGATTGCGATGATGATGATGTTGACGATGATGATGATGTTGGTGATGTTGGTGATGATGATGATGATGATGATAATTATTATGATGCTATTGATGGCGATGATGATGATGTTGGCGATGATGATGATGATGATGGTGATGATTATGATGATGATGATAATTATTATGGTGATATTGATGGCGATGATGATGATGTTGACGATGATGATGATGTTGGTGTTGATGATGATGATGACGATAATGATAATTATTATGATGATATTGATGGCGATGATGATGATGTTGGTGATGTTGATGATGATGATGATAATTATTATGATATTGATGGCGATGATGATGATGTTGGCGATGATGATGATGATGATGTTGGTGATGGTGATGATGATGACGATAATGATAATTATTATGATGATATTGATGGCGATGATGATGATGTTGGTGATGATGATGATGATGATGGCGATGATGATGATTATGATGATGATAATGAGGATGGTGATGATATTTTCGTTTGGTTCCTTTTTTCCACAAATTATCCATTTAACCTTCTTTGTGCAATGCCCCCCCCCCCAAAAAAAAAGAAGAGAAGACAAACTTACCAAGTGATGCGAGCATGTCGTGTAGATCATCTCGGTCGATAAACCCGTCTCTGTTTTGGTCTATGATGCCGAATGCTTCTTTAAACTCTTTGATCTGTGCCGTCTCGAACATCGAGAAGACATTGGTGGTTCGTCGAGTCGCTGATCGACCAGACTTCTTCTTCTTCTTACTGCTGATAACATGGCTACTGGTTTGATGACTAGCCATTGGTTCTAATCTAAGGGATCGAAGAAGAAGAACAGGGTTTATTTATTTATGAACGCATTCATGCACGATGTGACTCAAGGTAATGTTCTTGGGGGCGTTTCACAAAGATTCTAAGTCGAACTTAACTCTAAGTTGGACTTAAAAATTATGGAAAGCCATTTGTAGCCTTATAATGAAATATATTAAAAAGAAAAAATTGAAGTATTTTAGACTTTTCATTAATTCCACATCAAGAACATGAAATCTCTCATGATAAAAGAAATTTTGAATGGTTTGAATCAACATTTAATGCCTTTTCAAATAACTTTCACAAAATATTTTCAAAGATGCCAACGGCTTTCCATAATTTTTAAGTCCAACTTAGAGATGAGTTCAACTTCGGATCTTAGTGTGGCGTACCGATACTCAATAAGTGAGGTGTCATATGAAAGCGCAGGTTTTTGTCCATATTCCCCACAGGGCCGGCCCACCCCAAAAATTGTAAAAAATATCTTGCTTAGACTAGAACCTAGATCTAGTCTACTCTTAAAGATACACTCATAAAAAACAACCGTGCAGATAAACTAGAGAAAGGCCAAGGTGGTGTCATAAGTTGACTCTTTGTTTTCGGCATATAAAAGTATTAATGACTGCTTTAATATTCGGGCAATAGCACAATTGTAACCTTCCCTTGAGCGTATAAAAACAACTATTTCTCTCAAAGCAGTCATTAATACTATACTTTTTCATGTCTTCCATGTTTTAGGTGCATTTTGCACACCTGATAATTTAATACAGTTGAGGAAGTAGCTCCCATCCAGAATCATCAATATCTCCGACATGCCCTGAACACATATTTAATGACGTAGAGGGCTTAGCCGGTATCCCCACCCCTAATCCCTGCATGCCAACATACTTCCTTATTACCATTATTGTTCTTATTTCTCTGTTTGTAGAATTTTTACAAAGTATACTTGGAACTTTGGAAGAATTCCTTTATTTTCAGATTAAACGTTTTTAAGATAAACCTGTCATTTTATGTTTCATGTGTTTTTTCACTGTCCATAAGACATTAACAAAATATTGATTAGCATGATTAGAAATTAGTTTTGTGCATTATTCTCTACCTTTTTTTTGTAGGCCATCTTAACCTCAAAGTTATAAATACCCCTCATAATTCTTCAATAATTTTTCGCTTCATCGACGGGCTGGAAACTATTGTCCTTTTATTACATCCAAGATTTCTAGCGTGGATCAGCCCAATATCTATATATAACGAAGCCCAAAGGGTTTTTGATAAAAGTGACGGAAAACCGCAAATGAGAAGAGCGTGTTCGGAACTTTCTTCAGTCTATTTGCGGCATAGAATTGATCCAGTCCTGTCTCATCCTGTCTCTCCCATTTCACGTGCCCATACACAGCTTATAGGGGTAACGGAACCCTGGCACAGGGGGAAGTGATTTCACCCTTTCACCTTCCCCTTCCCCCTATACCATAACCAAATCGCCAATCCCGATACTATATACAGATTTACCCTTCTTGAGTTTATTTTCTTTGTCGTTATTTCTTAAAGATGGCAATACCGTAACCTTTGCTCAACAGCAATATAAACTAATTATTCCCAAATTCATACTCTTATCCAATCCAGGTATTTATAAATCGCTAATATCTACTTGCCTAATCAAAGGCGCTCTTATCTACCGAAAAAACAGCTTTATGGTTTTTAGTCGCTTCGTAAACATGGAACAATATAATCTATTTCCCATGAGAGAATTAACTGTTACTACGTTCAAATATCCCTTACAGGTACTATGTCCCATTTGCAGGCCAAAAAAATGAAAGGGTTAAATTCCAATGGCATTTGAAAGATAATACTAATTTAGAACTCCTCTAAAAAAGGGGGGTTTTGAAAATGTCTTTAAGTGGGAAAATAACGACTATTAGTTGCCAAATCGACTTAGGAGCTATAGAGCCAATAAGTAATAGTCTTGATTTCAGACCATTGTACCGCATGGTCGTACGTTTTATGACGCGTAAAGATTCAATCAGTTTAATTTTGGCCATTGCAAGAATTAGGTTATTGATGTAGACAAATCCTTTACAGCTCATTTTATGTATGTTATTACCAAAGAAGAAAAAAGCCAGTCACTCACTCAATACTGACAATAGTGTCTGACAGTGAAGTCTAGCAAGTAAACGGGTTTCCTTGCATAATTTGAATATTAGGATACTGCTAACGGTTAAATTTCACAGATAGGACATACATGACAATAATTCCTGCAAAGTTCTACAGAATTTGAGGTTGGCTGCAAAAGGGACATAGTATCTTTAAAGCCCCTCTAAATTGTTGGGAGCCCCAAAAATGTAATTACAAAATTTCACTTAAATTGTATCATGATGTGAAAGAGGGTGTAATTTAAGACATATTTCTGCAAGGATTTTCAAAACAAATGTGTTTGAAGTCGAATATTGATGAAAGAATACAAAATGGGTTTTCTGTGTACAATAACAATATTGAAACCCCAATTTGTGTATTCTTTTATCAATATTTGTCTACAAACATTTCTCTCTTTTTTTTGGGGGGGGGGATCTTTGCAAAAGTGTGTTTCCAATTACATCCTCTTTTACATTATGATACAATTTAAGTAATTTTTTGCCATCAAATTTGGGGGGCTCCAAACACTTTAGAGGGGCTTTAAAACATACTTGTTCCCTCAGTAACATGATGTGGTTTTTTAAATATGTTATCAGTCTATCTTTTTTATGTTTCTCTTCACATTCTGTAATTGTGTAAGCGCTATGGTACGTTTTATTTTTAGCACTCAAAATATTCAATATCATTATTATATAACTCGTTTCTTTCTTATCAAGTATAAAGTTTTAAGATTCATTTATTTCTCCTCAAGAGATCAACAAATAAAAAACAGACAAATGTATGACAATTCATCAGACGAATTGTAAAAAGTGGTGAAGGTAGTGGCCAAAAAGAAAATAAATCTTTTAGGAGGCCAACCGGTTAAGAAAACAAGAGATCATAATTATGTAACATAAAAACACATAAAATATATTCATTCTTCTCAGAATCTTCTCAAATATATTCATTCTTCTCAGAATCTTCTCAAATATATTCATTCTTCTCAGAATCTTCTCAAATATATTCAATCTTCTCTCCAAAAGATTTCCATTATATTCTCAATGTCAGCCAATTCCCTTTGGAGAAACTGGTGATGCGCGGGCATCCCCCCCCCCCCCCCCCCCCCACCACCACTTTTTTTTCTCCATTCAATCTCTTGATACGCCACTGATTTGCTATAATAATCTGAAAAGACGGTTTGTCTTTTATTAGAACAGCCGAATAAGTTTTCAATAAACATGAGCCTGATTACCTATTTACAATTAGGTGTAATTATATTTGACACCATACAAAGTGAGCCTATACTTCGACATTGGTCACAGTGGGAGTGTATGGTTTCAAGCAAAATCTGATCAATAAGACTTGTAATTGTCCTTAACAAATTCTTATGTCTTACGAATAGGCCAAAGGCATTTGTCGACATCCGCGAGTCTGCTGTCACAAAGACAATGAAAGAAAAATGTCATTCATCGTATCAATCGAAACAAAGGACATATAATAATGACAGACGTCACAAGTGTATTGTATCTGATGATCTGTTCAAAATAATTCAGAAGCCGAGACAATAATAAGTATAGAAGACTAGGGAAAGCACTTACCGGAATTTTCAAATTAATAAATCCTTATTACAAATACAATTTGTGTCGGACCAGTCTGTGCAAGGTCGCTCCAAATGAATACGTACTGTCTAGTAGGTGACTAGCTAGTTGCTGCTGTCTGTAAGTACATGCCATAACCAACACGACATGCCGAGAGTCTTGTAAAGATGTCCCCATTTGTCAAAAGGCGTTAAGTCCATTTCCAATCCAATGGTGTGTTTAATACTGTGTTCGACCTCTGCGTCAGTTGGGAGTTGGCCAAGCCGCAGTGTATCTCTCTGTCTACATCATTACACCCCATTAAAGGTACTATGTCCCTTTTGCAGCCAACCTCAAATGCTGTAGAACTTTGCAGGAATTATGAATATGTCATGTATGTCCTATCTGTGAAATTTAAACGTTAGCAGTGTCCTCATATTCAAATTATGCAAGGAAACCCGTTTACTTGCTAGACTTCACTGTCAGACACTATTGAGTGACTGACTGGCTTTTTTCTTCTTTGGTAATAACATACATGAAAAGAGTTGTTAAGGGTACATGAGCATTTGTCTACATTAACCCACTTCTTGTGATGGCCAAGATTAAACTGATTGAATCTTTGCGCAGCATAAAACGTATGACCATTCGGTACAATTGTCTGAAAATCAAGACTATTACTTTTGGGCTCTATAGCCCTAAAGTCGATTTGACAACTAATAGTCGTTTTTTCCCACTTGAAGACATTTTCAAGCCCAACCTTTTTTAGGGAAGTTCTTAATTAGTATTATCTTTCAAATGCAGTTGAAATTTAACTTTTTTGGGGCCTGCAAATGGGACATAGTACCTTTAATACTTATGCAGACCTGGCAAGGCCACCGAAGACATGTGGAAGCCTATACAATACCGATCGACGTCCGACGAGGCCGACAATGCCAGTCTCTAAGATTTTCTGACAACTGATCTGATGGTTTGTAGTAGGTCCATGGTTCTCCAGATCGACCCACAATTATTTTCTCATGGGACCTCAGGCTGTCAGTTTTTGTTTAAGCTTCACGATTGAGGCCCACCGTCCATGAGATCAAAACCCCTCGAGACCGATAATTAGGCCTATCCAAATACTTGTGGATTGTTTGGAGGGGGTATGTCGGTCTAGTGGGCCGTCGGTATTCGGTACCATGGACTTTAAGAAGTTTATACATGTACATTATATATATTTCATATCTCTTACCTTGTGTTTGTCTGTTGTCTTGTCGATTGCGTGGGTCGGTTTACTGAATGACACATTGACAACAATCAAATAGCACCTACAGCGAGAAAGGAAAATTATTATACGGGCAAATTGTGCATCAACGACCTTCTTGCATCAACCTTGTCATATTACTGTTGACACAGAGATAATGTATAAAGCACTCAAACAAACGGTTGCCAATCATTTCATTTATTATGGAACATGAACATCTATGACTCAGCCATGCTCTGACATCACCTTTAGACTTTGAGGCGCAGGCAGTGTACTTAAGGTCCAGAATATTAAAGGTATACCAGGCGCGGATCCAGGATTTCTTAGGGGGGAGGCCCTTTTTGGTCCGAAAAAAAATCGTAACGACTCAGCCAGCCGCTAAAAGAGCGGGGGGGGGGGGAAGAGGACACTTTCTTTTCTTTTTTTTATCTCGAAATTTGAAAATTTGACATTTCGTTCCGTTGGGAGGGTGAGGTCACCTTTTTTAGACCAGCCATTGGCATTTAAAAAAAAAAATTTAGATTAAAAAAAAAAAAAAAAAAAAAAAATCAGAGAAAAGGGGGGGGGGTTGCTCCAAAATACACACATAAAAAACCGGAGGGGGGGTCAACCCCCTAACCCCCCTCCCCCCCCCCCCCTTCCGTACGTGCCTACTCGTCTGAAAATAGTTTTTCCCCTCCCGCGCGAAGCTTTTACGTTTCATTAAATCATTAGAGAAAGAAGACGATTCGTTGTACCGTTCTCGACTCTTAATCCTCATCTGAATTCAGTTTTCCCCTCTCCCTCTCCCGCGCAAAGCGCGGAAGCTTCGACGTTTCATTAAATTATTATAGAAAGAAGACGATTCGTTGTACCGTTCCCGAAAATTATCCTCGTCTGAATTAAGTTCCCCCTGCCCTCCCCCGCGCGTAGCGCGGAAGCTTTGACGTTTCATTAATTCATTAGAGAAAGAAGACGATTCGTTGTGCCGTTCTCGACTCTTAATCCTTGTCTGAATTTCAAATATGTTCTTTGTCTATTCCCTTTTCTTCCTACGTCCTCTTCCTTTACACTCCTCTCTTTTTTGGCCGGCGTTTATTGGGGGACCACCCACCGCCCCCCTGGCTACGCGCCTGCTGTCAGATGAACATATGTTGATACCTTGTCCGCCTCGGAAGCTCAGGGGTTTAAGGTTTTAATTTACGATCAGATTAGCATTCGGGGGTCCGCCTTAGCGCCCTAGACGGGGTCCAGGGGCAGAGCCCCGGAAGTTCAAGAGTTTAGGCATTTAATTACGGTCAGATGAGCATTATTTTAATACCTAATTGTTACAATGGCAGGTCACTAATTGGCTTGGGGTTCAGGGTGCGGAGCCCCGGAATCTCAAGGGTTTTAGGCACTCAATTACGGTCAGATGAGTATCGAGGGGCCCGCCTAAGTGCTCTTGGTTGGGTCCAGGGGGCAGAGCCCCCAGAAGCTAAGGGGTTTTAGGCGTTTAATTACGGTCAGATGAGCATTTTTGATACCTTATTATTTGTGACACTAGCAGGAAACTATTTGACGTGGGGTCCAGGGGGCAGAGCCCCCAGGAATCAGGGATTTTAGGCATTAAATGACCGTCATATGAGCATCTAAGGGCCCGCCTTAGGGCCCTAGGTGGAATCCAGGAGGCAGAGCCCTTAGGATTTTAGGCATTAATTTTAATCATGGTCAGATGAGCATATTTTGATACCCCATTATAATGTGACACTGGCAGTTAACTATTTTTTCTTTCTCGCTCTCTTTCTTTTTATTTCTCTTTAATATACTTTTTCAAAGAAAGTGTGGGGGAGGGGCTCGAGGATCCCGATCCCCGCAAAAAATTGCAACTGATATCCCTTACCTTTCTTCATTCTCTTTTTTTTCCTTTCCCTTTCTCTCCTCTTTCACTTTCCTTTCTCTTCCTTATCTCTCTTTTAGGTTTGCTGGGGGGGGGGGGAGGGGCACGGACATTATGGTCCCCAACCCGCTCCACACATTGTTGGCGGGATTAACCGCAACTGATCTCCGCTTCTTTTCTCCCTTTTCTTTTTTTCTTCCTCTTTTTGTTCCCTTTTAGCTCTCCTCTTTTCCTTTTCCTTCCTTCTCTCTTTTTTTAGCGGGGACGGGAGGGGGGGAAGGCTAGGGTCTTCCCCCCCCCCCTCGATCCACAACTTGTTGGCGGGAAAATTGCAACGGATATCCCCCTTCTTTTCTTTTCTTCTTCCTATTTTGTCCTTCCCTTTATCTCCTCTTTATCTTTTTTCTTTCCCTTTCCTTCCTTCTCTTTTATTTTTTTATTGGGGGGGGGGGGGAGGGAAGGGGGAGGCAAGTCCTTCCCCCCCCCCCCCCGATCTCCTTCTTCCCTCTTTTCTTTTCTTCTTCCTCTTCTTTTTTTCCCTTTCTCTCCTCTTTCCCTTCTTTTCCTTCTCTCTCTCTCTCCTTTTTTTTTTTTTTTGCGGGGGGGGGGGCCAAGGCACGCTCGCCCCCCCCTTGATCTGCGCCTGCAAGTATACTACTTAAACAAATTTTGACGTAAAATCGAAAGTTAATGAGTTCTACTCGTTGCATACACTCGATATGTCATTTTGATTGCCTGCGCTAACAAATCATGTGCATGCGCTATGTAGTTCAATAAAACCAAAAATTCCTGAAACTGTCTTCCATCAGGAAATTAACGCCTCGTGTAATACGGGCGTTATGCATATTTAGTCTTTCATGAAATATTTCAAGTCACTATATAAGGATACCTAATCTTATATAGTAGGCAATATGATTGTCGATTCTTTTGTGCGCTATATAAGAAGCCACCATTATTATTATTATTATTAAATATTTGTAAGATTTCGTCTCATTCCCTTTTTGTTTTGTACGTCCGTTGAGAATTTTTTTTTTTAATTATTCATTTAATTTCATTTGTTTTTAAATTCTGAATACAAAATTAAATCAGTATACATTAAAACATACATACAGAAATATGAACTTATTTTAAAAACAGAACTGACCAGGGGTCCAAGATAAGCAAAGCTTGGTGCCTCGTGAGCCCTGACAATTTCAAACACGCAGCCATCTACGATTAGACACACGAGTTTGATTTCCATTTTGGAGAAATATGTCTGAAAGTTTTATATGATATTCCATGTGACGTTCTGACGTTTGATTTCCGTTTGAGCAGTGAGTTTATTCTAAGCACAGCAGTGATGACAGACATAAGGCATTGCATATAGACTCAAGGAGGGTAAGGGAATCGAAAAGAGGAAGCTCGAGTACCCCTAGCGCCCCCTATTCTCCCATCCCCTCCTTTGGCACACAAACAGGTGCAAACATACTCACAGGAGCACCTGTTAGACTTTGAAGCGAGCTTTTGTTTGAAGTCTGGAAAGTTAAAGGCACCCCTAACTTCGATCAATGATTTCAGAATTTTGTTTTCACCAGGCAAAGAAAATGTTCTCATAATCATGATGATGGTGACGATCATGGCTGTGTCCGCCTCTGCTGGGCACCCATGGCGCCTGCTCTACAATATCTGTAGAGCAAAGTGCCCCCGTGCGTTTTGAATATCCATAAATATTGATTAAAAAAGGAACTACATGTATATACTCTCCAATCGGAAGGGGGGGGTCAGACATAATGCATGTAATTAGCTTTTACAGTGATTACAAGTTGTATACATTTTCCCTCAAGAGCTGTAAATGGGGAGGGGTCATCCAGTTGATCGACAGCCAACGATGACCGACAATATAGAAATACCCCGGGAAAAATGCATAAGAGAACTTTGTAGAATAATGTTACAAGAAGTCCACAAAACCAACGGTCCATGAGACTAACAGTCTTCCGCAGACTGACGAACAAAGAGATCCATAAGCGAATTTAGAAATAATTATATCGGTCCCTAGGTTATCGGTCTTGTGGGCCGTCTGTCTCTTGCGAACCATCTTAACCCTATTTAGCCCGGGCTATTTTGAAACTGCATAGCCCAGGGGGGGGGGGGGGGTTTCTAAGGCCCCCCCCCCCCCTATGATCTCGGCCGTGAAACGCCCGATCGCCATGTTAAGTGAAGTATATAGAATACTATGGTAATTTCAATTTTTTGAAAAATTCACTCATTTGCATATTTATGGTAATTTATGCAAATAAGGTCATAAAATTCACATTTTTGCCCATAAATCAGACATTATTCATATTTAAGCATTCTTTCTCACTATATATATTTGTTAGACCATTTGGAATAATAAAACAACACAACAAATTGAAAAACCAGGGTTATTACTTATGTTATCTATTGTTTTGATAATTTCTTATGTATTTCTTTGTTTTTTTAACTTATGTATTTTATTGTTTTTGTTGTTTTATTTCATTTCCAACTATTATTCAACTATTTTGACCCCAAAATAAACACCTCAAGGCTCAACTATAAACAAGACCAAAATATCTAATGCTTTATCTCTTTATTTGAAAAATGAGATTTCCATATGTTTTGTACACAAATCACAAAAATGAGCGATTTTCGGGCTGACATGCAAAGACAAAAGGACATGTGACTTTGTAATGGTAGGTCCGATTTTCGAAAAATTTCTTTTAAAAGATGCGCAAGCCTCGAAAGAAAAAAGTCACAAAATTTCAGTGCAAGATTTTTTTTGCGTTAAAAAATTATCGCGAAAAATGTCGAGGGGGGACTTTAGAAGCCCCCCCCCCCCCCCCTAAATAGGGTTAAAAGAGGCTTTAAAGAGGTAGTTTGTACCGTCCCACAGAAAACTCCTTGCGTCAACTTTATTCCGCCTAATAACAAAATATTCTTTTAAAAGTATTTTGACTTAATGTTATTATGTTAGGCTTCAATCAATGGCTAAGGGCAAACAAATGGGGGCGTCTGTCAATCACTCTCGCCCTTTTTCCCGCCATGTAGGCCTACAGAGTTATGGGGAAGTACACCCTGGTAATTCAAGAAGCTGGCAGTACTATAAACGAGAGAAACAAATGAGTGAAAGTTTGAGCAATATCCGATTGAAAATTGGAAAGTTATGATTTTTTTTAAAGTTGTCATCAATGAAACACAAATTAGCAACACTGTGACGTATCTTGCCAGGTCCGAAAATGTCATGAACTTTCACTTTCTTAGTTTAAAGGTAATGCAAAGTTTTCGGAAATTTAAAAAAAGGATGGATAGTAATTCTTTACAATTTTGATATATTTGGATGCCCCTGTTGATATGTTAGTCACTAGAAAATTTAGCCCGTAAAACACTTGTGCTTTCGAGTTTTTGAACAATCAAAAATTTACCGGTGCTCCCGGTAAATTTCAAATATTTCAAAAAGCCATGGTAGCTCCGACCATGAAAATTAAAAATATGCAGCCCTGATATATAATCTCCAAATGGGATAGCCAATCGGTCGATTGTAGTCAAGAAACATTTTAGAGCTAAAGTAACATCAGTCTTGAGAGGGCGCCATACACTATAAAGAGTTTATTATTTACAATTTCATCAGTTTAGACTCGATTTCAATAACGACAGCGATCATTGAATATTGTAAAATCGCGTATGCTTCCAATAATGTTCATTTGAACCAAATTAATGACCCCATACCAAAACTTTGTTTTGCCTTTAATATAATGGATGAAGGAGTAGATTTCTTTCATACAGAGATTGCATTTTTTTTTTTTTAATGCACCGTTAGGGTATTATAGAAAATGTTATGTGGGGAAAATAGAATGTTTTGATTTTTTTTTTAAACAGAACAAATGGGAAGGGACCTCACAAAACTAACTTGATATCAGGGTAGACTAGAATCCGTGCTCCTGTGCTTATCTCAAATTCTAAGCCAGCTGCACATTTCCATCATGATAAATACATCTCTCTGCGTATAAACAGTGAAACGTTACGAGTGTGTCACCTCATTTCTGTTTGCTAAGATATCTTACCGGCCGGAGGCAGCAGCCCCCCCCCCCCCCTCCTCCGAAAGAAATATGTAAATTTGATTTACACATTACCAGGCATGTAGCCAGAGTTTGATGGGTTTTTTTTTTTTTTTGGGGGGGGCACATACATCGATCGAGGTCAAAAAAAGGGGTCTAAAAAAGTTCAACCGATCTTGGATTTTTTTTTTTTTTTTTTTTTTTGGGGGGGGGGGGGGTACGTGCCCCCCCCCCCCCCTCCCCCGTGGCTATGCCTGCACGTTACGTCAGCAAATATGAAGCTTTTATAGTCTATTTTGAATTTGTCGGCACATTCGCTTAGGTTGCCCCCCCCCCCCCCCCCCCCCCCCGCCGCCCGCCCTCCATTCGCCGTCAGACGTGACATGCAAAGTTCAACTCAATCTAGTCTGCAAAAACAGACTCTATCTTTTATACAATTTCATCAGCTAATTGATAATGATAATGAGTGTAATATTTTTTATTGTAATTTCTATCTAATAATTAGATATATTTAAACAAATTAGAAATTAAAGATGTCTTCTTCCCCATCCGCAGTCACACAATCATCAATCTGTCACTAGTAGTCTTCAAAAACAAAAATCATGGACAACTTTGTTCATTTTACTCACCTTACAAAAATGTACCAAACGAATTTATACACGACTCAAACAAGTGGCGCATGCGCAATTCTCAAAAAGGGCTTGGCTGACATTGATAATTCCTGTCGAGAGGTAATGTAAATACCGTGCAAAATACATCAGATTTGTGTGTATAATGATATATGTATTTGTTTTAAATATGTGATGTTAATGGCAGATCGTGAGTGGTATGTGAGGGACCGAAGATCAATCAGTGATTTGCTTGGAGAAATTATTTATTCTATCTTACATTTTCATGTAAGAACCACCTTGCGAGCGAATGTGTTGGGTGTGTATGGCTGTGCAGTGGTTGCAATTCTGCGGTTTTATGACTCGAAATTCCTTTTCAGTTACGTCAGAATTAACATCTTTGTGTGATTTCTTTGTGACTTTTCCGTATCAAATAATATATTTTACAAACGTGAAGACTTAACCACCTTTCTTGTGTACATCTAGTGGGTGAAATTTATCGAATATATTTCCATTTTCAATGCGGATCCTGCGTAGACATTTTTTTTCATTTTGGGTTAAGTTGTTGTCCATTGAGTTTATACGGTAGGTTGTGTGTAGTCTGCCGGAGACGAGCCCAAGCTAATGCGGAAGTACCCGCTCCCGTGTATCACGTTTCACTTGAGTTGTTTGTGTGACGGATTACTCCTATACAGTAGTGGGGAGTGTCATCTATACTGCCTAAAACACCAAGCCCACTGATAATATTTTATCCTAACAAAGGATTACCCACTAGATATAGATCTATGTTTAGTGTGTACTGTAGTTAACGTGCCGTATAGAGTAAAGGAGCCCGTTTTCGGCCACTTAAGACAAAATCCTATTTTTAGGACCCTTTACTTCCTATTTATTATCATTTTTTGTTCAAATCATGAAGCAAATATTATTATTATTTAAACAAAACAAGAATCCCAGAAAAAAATCACGAATTGCCATGACAATATTCATTTCAATTTTCACTGTTTCGGAGTCAGTTTTCGGCATAGCGTACCAGTTTTCGGCCGCATGTACAAAGTCATTAGGAAGCGCGCGCACGCGCCGTGCGTTTCCGCACTGATCTATAGCACTAGCGGGCGGAGCAGATATCCCACGCCGGAGCTCCCCGGAGCTCGCCAGGCCGAAAACTAGTACTGTGGTGATCGGATATTGGAATCTGAATTAGAGATATCGTGTGTGCGTTGCGGTGTGCGGCTACATTGATTTAATACATGCGATGAGATACTTTTGAGCTTGCGACCAGCACAAAATCGGGCTCTAAATCTGAAAAATACATGAAATAAAGCTCATTTTATGGTACCCATATTTCTTACAGACACGCGTAAGATACTCGATTTTTCAGATTCGGGTAGCGGGACCGCCGATTACATCGCTAAAATGTGATATTTTAGGATATATTTTTCATTGCAAATGTGGTTCTTCAGTGACACTGGCATGGTATGGTATGTGTGGGATATGTGTTATGCTATTATGCGATGTATTTTAGAGTGATTTTACCTTGCATCCAACCAATCTATATTAAACTATTTTAAAATTGCATTACCAAGTCATTCCACCTACATGTAGACTTCTAAAGCTGAAAATGCAAAGTAGATATTGTAATCTAGACTAGTCTTTTCTAGATCTAAAAAAAAATCATCCCTAGTTTTGTCTTTGTATCTTTCCAAAAGTAAGGATGGAGTCTGTGCTATTTAATTGTTTTCTTACCCGGACATAAATATCATACTAGCTTATCACTTACAGGTTCTATTGAAATTGTGTCGTTAACTCGTTGTTTAACAAATGTTTTTAGCTGGATACAATGCTGAAAAAAATTCGCTCAAAACAGGTGAAATTTGTCTTGGTCCGTAACTGATTCATTGTTTAATTCAAATTTTCTTATTAATTTTACTCTGAAGACTTATTCTTTCTTTCTTGGTTTGAAACTTCCTTTCTCTCATTTCTTTTTAAAGATGTATCTGGCTAAGCAACAACATCAAAATCTACTCAAGATTGTGACATATCCCTGTAGAATTCCCCCAAACTGAAACACAAAAAGACAGAACATTGCTTGACATACTGTATGATACGTGTACTTTACTTATGACAAGAAACTTGACAAAAATGACCTTTTTGGAAGTGTATTGTTAGATGACCTCTGCTCTGCCTTATCATTTGATGTACACTGTACACTGTACATGGAAGAATGACGATCATGTGACGTCTTGCTGTGACATAGCCTAAAGATCATTGAGTTGGGAATATCTGGCATAGTTTCAGCTTACTTTGATCTCATTTTGTATCTTAACCCAACAGGATTTGTTGCTGATGTTGTTTTGTTTTGTTAGGTTTTAACAAATAAAAAAAATTGTGTGTGTTTGTTTATGGGTGTTTTTTTTCAGCAAACATTTATTGGAGTAAGGTTTGCTTTTCAGTACATGTATGTGTACATGTACTTGTAAATCATACATCCACTTATAAACAAAATAGTTTGATTTCGAGAAGTTGTTCATGTAGTCATGATCTGATCCATGTTTTGCAAAGCCATATATATATTTAAAACAGAGACATGCAATGTACATCGTACAACTACAAGCAATCTGTGTGATACATGTACGTACATTTTATGTATGTTTTACAAATAACCAATATTGCTTTAATAATAAACATTTATTATCAGAGTTCTTTTGTAACTAATTCTCTGTTAGTTATCTCTCTCTCTTTCTCTTTTTTGTGAAGAATTAGCAATAAAAACTAGTGGGAAAGCAAGTTTACATGGTTTACATACATGTATGAACATCTACAATGACATCTACATGTACATGTACATGTAGATTTTATGGTTACCACTAGGGAGAATATGTAACATTTGATTGAATACTTTCTTTTTTCAGAACTAAATGTTGATCTTACATTGATTTTTATTTTTTGTTTGCATTTTTTAAGTCAGAGTACTGAACAATTCTTCCACTCTCTTATCCTTGTCAATGTTTCTTTTTCTTCGTCTTAATCTGCCTCCTTTATTCCTGAACATTGTAGTATTTAATCCTTTTGTCCAACGTTGAATACTATGTGTCCCTTAAAGGACAATAAATAGGCCTTGTGAGATTACATAGAGTTACAGTCATGTAGAAATTTAGCATGTGCAATCGGTCTGCGTGTAGGCTCAAGCTTTTGCTTTATTAATCCAATTGTCCAATTGTGATGGGTTCGTGCACCTGCCTCATATTCTTGTCTGTGGTTCTCAAGGCACAATTATGATGAGAAGGGCATCTTTGCTTGTATGTTCAGGAAAGAATATTAACGTTATCAGGAAGGCTGTAAGTTTGGCATCTCTAGAGAAGGAAAGTAGGAAAGCTGTAATTCCATTATTCCTAGAGAATGAAGATACTCCCCTCTCTCTCCCCCACCCCCTCTCTCTCTCTCTCTCTCTCTCTCTCTCTCTCTCTCTCTCTCTCTCTCTCTCGCTCTCGCTCTCTCTCTCTCTCTCTCTCTCTACTAGCCTTTTGATATTAACAAGAATTATCATTTTTTAATGACTTCATTCATTATTCTGATTGATATAATATTGCATTGTATTAGTATGCACTTGCCCTTCACCAAAGCTATAACACTTTTCTCTTTTGGGGCTTCAAAGTTCAACAAACCTCTTTACAGTCTGTCCAGCAGTTGATACATTGATACATCACTGTACATTATTGCAGATTTTTACAAGAGCCATATTGTGAATTCAGTGCATCATTTTATATGGAGTGGCTTATAGTCACTTGTGTGAGAATCTTCAAGGTGATTTTGTGGCTGAAGCAAGGGCTTGGAACTAAAAAGAACTGAGTTTTCAGTTAAAACAAGGTATATAGATGAACATGTACAATTGAATATGTTTTTAAAAAACTAATTACAGCAAAAATATGGTCTTTACGGTATGCATTTGCGCTGCGTTATGACATCAATAGGTTTTTAATAGGTGAAAGGAAGGCCGGTTGAAAAATACTAATTTTGATGGTAAAATACTAATTTTGGAGGTGCTGAGTACTAATTTGTACTTCCAAAGGTTGGCAGCTCTGTACATGTCCCCCTGTTTGTATTTCAACACATTTGAAATATACAGTCAATAGAGTGTCAAGCTTTGTCTTCTTACATGTATATATCTTTCTAGTATATACCTTATCCTGATATTTTCTATTTGCAGGTTAAGACGATAAACAATCACCATGGCGAGTAAAACCAAAGTGAAGAAGACGAAGAAGAGGGCGCAGAGGGCCACCTCCAATGTCTTTGCTATGTTTGATCAAGCACAGATCCAGGAATTCAAGGAAGCCTTCAACATGATAGATCAGAACAGGGATGGATTCATCGACAAGGAGGATCTTCATGATATGTTAGCTTCTTTAGGTAAGAAACAAGGATTCAAAACAAAGGGAGTGAAAGGGAAGAGATAAATGTATAATGTAATTTTGTTGAGGTCTCGCAGTCATTGGGTATGCTTGTTTCTCTAAGTAAGAAGCATGGATTGAACAAAAAGGGAATGAAACGGAAGAGATTAAGGTACATGTACAATGTAATTTTGTTGAGGTCCCGCAGTCATTTGGTTTGAGCACTTGACTAGAAATGGGAGGGTCATTGGTTCGATCCCAGGCTCGGCACTAGTGTCTTTGAGTATTAGGCCTACCGGTAATCAAAACAAGATGTATTGCCCTTGTCCATGATACATGTATGCTTGCCAATGCTTCTCTAGGTAAAAAACAGGATTGAAAGAAAAGGGAATGAAAGGGAAGAGATGAAGGTAAATTGTAATTTTGTTGGGGTCTCGCAGTCGTTTGGTTTGAGCACTAGAATGGAAATGCAGAGGTCATTGGTTTGATCGGCACTAGTGTCTTTTAGAATTAGGCCTTTAAAAAAAGATGTATTGCCCTTTGCGACTGACCCGAAAAATTAAAAAAATCTATGGGCAGCTTTTTATTTCAGTTTTTTTTCCAACTGTTTTTTTTAATTAAAAAATATGCTTTAAAGCATTTAAAACTGATAAATATTAGCCCAACGAGAGGGAAAAAACACACACACACACACAAAAAAACAAACACGCCTTATTCCCAAAGAAGACAAAAATTTATAGTACTGACCTGGGTACATAACGCCAGTTCCATACAATTTATTCTTTTCAGTCTGTGACTCAGATTTCCAAATTTTTGTTGCTAGTTTCCCTATTCTTTTGTTGTTCATTGTTCAACCAACCCTTGTAATACACTATAAATGATTGAGTTTAATGTAACCGGTTTTTATTAGCAGTATCGTAGCAAAAGATGTACATGTATACGTAATAATTCCCTGTCTCAAGAAAATATTGAATGAATAAACAAAAATACCATATACATCATTTGTATCTTCACAGGTAAAGACCCCCTAGACAAGGATCTTGAAGACATGATGAGCGAAGCACCAGGACCAATCAACTTCACCATGTTCCTGACTCTCTTTGGAGAGAAGCTCAACGGTACGGACCCTGAGGATGTCATCGTCAATGCCTTTGCTTGCTTTGACCCTGAAGCAAGTGGTAGGTTGCACCCCTTCATTCAGAATTAATTTACGTTTGCCACTCTCCACCCTGGGGAGTATTTCACAAAGATCCTAAGTTGGATTTAACAATTATGGAAAGCTGTTAGTATTTTTGAATATATTTTGTAAAAGTTATTTCAAAAGTATTAAAATAAAAATTGAAATCTTTCATATTTTCTATTATCAAGGAGATTTCATGTTCTTGATGTAGAATTTATGAAAAGTCTAAATAAATTGAATTTTGCTTTTGAATATATTTTATTTTAAGGCTACAAATGGCTCTCCATAGTGTTCAAGTCCAACTTTGAGTTAAGTTCAACTTCTGATCTTTGTGAAACACCCCCCAGGTGCAATAATGGATACCTGGTAGGAATTTATTCCTTGAATGCTTTGAGCACCTTGGGGCAGCTGGGTTAAAGCCAGTGTTATAATACTGCTTTGTAGGTGCCTTGAGCATCCCCTGGGATGGATACCTTCTTAAAGGTAATACAAAGTTTTGGTATGGGGTCATGAATTTGGTTCAAATGAACATATTGGAAGCATATGCGATCCGTAAATATTCAATGATCGTTGTCGCGGTTGAAATCGAGTCTAAAGTTATGAAATTGTCAAGAATAAACTCTTTATGTTGTATAGCTCCTTCTCAAGGTCAGTATATTAATTAAGCTATAAAGCAATATTTCTTGACTGAAATCGACCGATTAGCTATTCCCGTTTGGAAATTATATATCACAACTACATATTCTGAGATGTGCATGGTCGCAGCTACCATTGTACGGCCGTAGGCGCTATTTGAAATTTATTAAAATTTACCGGGAGCACCGGTAAATTTTTATATTCCATTTTTCTCGAAAGCAGAAGTGTTTTAGGGGCTAGAAATTTGTGTGCTTATAATACATCCACAGGGGAATCCAAATATATCAAAATTGTAAAGAATCACTATCCACCCAATTTTCAAAATTTACCAAAACTTTGTATTACCTTTAATATAAATGTACATATAGGTTTTATTATTACATGTAGATAGACCAAACATTATATTCTCTTCAAATATCTATTTCAAGTTCAATTTATCAGGTCTGCTATAACTTTTGAGCTCCTTTTTTTTCTTCTTCTTTTTCATTTTTTTCAAGTGAGATTTCCTTAGAGAGTTTTAATGAAAAGTACTTTTAGTTTTATTCTATGACAACTGTTTGACTCCGTGCTCATAAACTAAAAACTTGTTTTAATTTTATGTCAATAATTGAAGAAGGACAGGCAAAATATCTTACCTTCTTAAAAAACAAGATTTTTTTTAAAACTACAAAGAGTGAAAATAGGAATGACTGTTGCCAATTCAAAGAGGAATACTGATTGATTTAGAAGACATCAAAAACCCTGTACTGCTATTGATTAATTGTCTCCTTCTTGCCGTGCTTGTAGGTGTCATCCCTGAGCCGTACTTGCGTGAACTTCTGAGCACCATGGGAGATCGCTTTACCGAGGAGGAGATCGATGGCATTTTAAGTGGGGCTCCGATCGATAGTAAGGGTTTGTTCAACTATCGTGAGTTCAGCCGCATCCTCAAGCACGGAACCAAAGAAACTTGAAGAAACTAACGTCGGTCAGACAGACATTGCTTTATTGGTATTTTTAAACATTTTTGAGGGATTGGGGGAGGGGGATGTAGTTGGGCATATAGATCACACAAGAGATATTTTGCTCCCGAAAATTTGAAAATCGCGCCGGCCGAAAAGTCGCTCAGTGGGGGGGGGGGGGGTAAGCGGACACTCTTTTTTTTTTTTTTGTCTCGAAAATTTGACATTTTTTTTCGTTGGGGGGGGGGGGGGGGGGGTAAGGTCACTTTACGTTAGCCGTGGGTATAATTTTTTTTTTTTTTTTTTTTTTTTAAATTAAAAAAAAAGGGGGGGGGGGTTTTTAGTTTTTTTTAGGGGGGTTTACACTCATAAAAATACCAAAGGGGGGGTTTGAACTCCCAAAACCCCCCCCCCCCCCCCCCTCTGCGTACGCCCCTGCATGAGATCTTAGAATCATTTAAAACGGTTTGAGGGATGTCTTTAAAATGTATTGTCTGTCGAAGGCCAAAAGGGCGTTAACTCGATGCAAAAGTAAATGGGATTATGCTTTTCTGACTCCGTCAAGACATTTAGTCATAATAAAAGTCAAAATCATGTGGGAAGTTTTTGCTGCATCTGTCAGCGCACTACTCAAAGTTTTCTATAGGTAAATCTTGATTATCTTGCATATGGTGTACATGAAAGAGTCAAAACTTGACTGAAACTGCCTGTAGGGTAAAGTGTGTAAAATACCCCTCTCAGTATCTCAGGTCAGCTTGAATATTTTTGTATTTGCTTTATCAGTTTGGAACCCAACAATGACTCAATAACAGAGATTTTGCATCTTAAACCTTAAGCTAAAGCTACAAACTACAGCAACCTTGCCCCCATTAAGTTTTCTCTTTGTGCTGGAAAAATCCTGTCATTAAGAAGTGTGATGAAGTAGTGTGAACATAATTTTCAATGATTGAATAGTCACAGAGCAAATCCAAAACACTTGATCACTCCACAGGGTAGATCTAGTATTTTTTTTGTATAACGATAATTGGCAGTCGATTCCCGAGATGGCGTATGAAGTCAGAATTGTTTCTGTAAGATACACATCTCTAGAGTAAATTGCCTCTTATATTATTGGACTTATTTTGACTGATTTTGTTTTTGTGGGTTTTTTAATTATTATTATTATTGAAAATGTTAGAATATAAACAATTCCATAATTTTTATTTTAGATAAACCTTTGCTTCGTTTATTTTCTTAGACAGGTAACGAGTCATACAGGGCTTCCCAGTAGAAGTTTATTATTAGAAAATTATATAATGGTACAATATAGCGTAACCTTGTACAGTATTTAGTTCCTTTGTATATGTTTTGATACATTCAATCACCTATGATATCACAGCTTTGATTATTTTTTGTTTATTAATTCAATAAATAGGCCTATTTTGCTTCATTTATATACTTATTTAAATACTTCAGTTACAAGCTTTGTCCAATTTGTATTAGATGATGTATACATTTTGAATGCTTGGAATAAAATATTTAAGTTTGCTGGGTAGGATGTGCTTCATATTTTACTCTCCCTGTTGCATGCATACTTTTCTGTGATTTATCATAACCGTTGGAAAGCAGCAAAATACAGGTGTGTATAAATATGTTAAGATACAATCTTGTAATATGCATTTAATTTCAGCATTTCAATGAGTGAAAATCACTAACTTGTGCCATAAGTAAGCACATTCTTGAATTGTATGAGGGTTAGTAAATGCTGTGGGGCTTGTGTTTTTCATTTGATATGTATTGGTGCTTCTCGTATATATTAAGTACTTTTAAGCTGAACTAACCATACCTCTATACTGTAGTAAAGACATTACTTTTTAATAAGAATAATACAAGTACTTGCATAAAAGTATAACAGCATTGCAGTGAAAACTATCTTGTAATTCTCTTTGACATTGGGCTTTTACATGCAATGAGTCCCGTTAGAGATTTAACCATTTATTTCATTCAAAAATGGACCAGTTCTTTTTGGGATCACCATCATTATACATTTTTTTCATATTTGGATTAAATGAATGGAAAAGAGACATACATCATTTAGGGCATGTTACATTGAATCACCCTAGTGCATACAAGTACATGTAATTACAGTATGTAAAAAACTATTAAAAAAACAATCAATAAATGTTACGATGGCTTAGGCAAGCATAAATGGTCAGGACAGAAGTTTTTACAATGGATGTAAAAAATTGAATTAAGCAATTAGTAAATTTGCATGATATTGATAAACAGTACCTGATATTGAGAAAAGCTTAGAAGCATTCCTGTTATACTATTCCAATTACATCATTCCCAGCGCATAAGATTTGTAATATATTCGTATTTGTGAGAGCTTTTGCCCTAAATTCCAAGACAGGAAATCTCCCTATCCTATCTGATAATACTGTAACATGTGTTTCAATTATGATAACAGGCACATTGTATGCAAGTAGATGGTACGTGGGGCATGCCTCAGCCAAGTGTCAGAGTTTTCTTGAACAACTTTATGCTGTACCTGAGAGGAAAATTGCACCGTATATGAATATATTATGATAATGTTCTATGTTAATACATTCTGATACTTGTATTCCAAAGATTTAATTGAATTCATTTAAAGTATTACATTCTTTTATCTTGATAATTTTCCTTCAAATAATCTCATATTATTTGGTGAATATAAAAATAATTGCTTGATTTGTGATAGCTAGATAGTAGATATATCATGTAATTGCATTAATATTTTTAATGAATAAATTATAATACATAACATCAAACATTTGTGTATCTTTATTTTTCACTTGTCCTAATTTCTATTCCTGTAAAATACTTTTAAACATGTCTTGGACATCGATGAAAATACTGCCTTTAAAGAGATCATCAGGTAACTTTGTTTCAGATTCTGAAAGAAAAATCGTGGATTTAGCTCATGCTGCTATGATCATTATAAACCTTTAGGTCAGTCAGGAAACCCCCTGTCTGACTATCGAGATATTTATGATCAAAAATCGAAATTTCATTTTGCGTTTACCGAACGGTTTTGATAACAGTACAGTCTATTGGGGGGAAATGAGTATGGTAAAACAGGTCACTCAAAGAATTTTCATCTTTTGGGGCACTTCATGATCATTTTGAAGCGCAATTTTTGTTAGGGCTTCATTATTACACCATATCAAAGACACTGATAACATGTAGGGCCATGCATCTCAGATTTAACATTGTTAAATGATGCCTTTAAGCCTCTCAGATGTGAAGTGGTATATCGTGACTTTTTCTTTCATGATTGCTGTATCTTACAAGACAGAGCTCAGTAAATACTCATAGGACCTTCCTTTGTTAAAGTGTTATTAAAAACAGGACGATTAGAAGCTACGACTTATAGTGGAATGTCGCCCTCTGCTGACATCATACAGTAGAGTTCAGAGAAAACTATCCTTTTTTTTCTGCGTTTTAGTGACAGGTTTCTTATCTTCATTTGTTGTGATAACTGATTGAAGCCATTTATAATTTCCGAAGAATGCATTTTCAATCTCTACCACTCTCTACAATCTACATATATATATATATATATATATATAGATGTGTACACAACAAGAAAAAAAAATAGTTTTACTGTAAAAGACGTTTCCTGCCGACTAGATCGAAATAGTTCATTTTTTATTTTTCACAATAAAAAAACGCATATTCTTGAACTCTGCGTTTTCCCAGCGAGCGCGTACATGATTTCAAAGTGCCTCTGCGCGGTCAACCCCTGCGGTGTCACGGCGCTCAAGCTATATGCAATTTACGCTGTGCGATAACTGCACTACACTAACGCCAGCTAAACATTTTTACATCCTTCAATGTTTCATTTGAGCCGTGCAATTTTCTTTATTTCTTTTCGATCTGAGTGTAGATGTGAATGTGAGTATAAGGTTCATGTTATTACAGAAGTGTACAAGGAATAATACAGATGGAAGGGATATAAAACAAATATAAAATGACCATTAGTATGAAGGGGTGACCAAAGTTCGCGCAGATTTTAGAACAAATTAGAAAATGTGATATTCGATCCATGTTTTCTCATATTCTACACAAATTTATTTATTTTAATTACTACCAAATGGACGGCAAAGTATTTTACTACCAATTGGTTCAACTACAACATTTATCGTCGAAGGATTTCGGAGATATCGCGATCTAAAAATTCGATGTCCGATCGTGCATGCGCGCTGCATCTAAAAAAGTCATAAAAACAACGAGACCTAAGTTCACGCACGGGGGTTTACAGCTGATTTATACAAAAATACGATCCATCAAAATAAGGTAATTTCATAATTTGCAAGGCAAAATATCATACAACCAGACGGTACCACTTATTACTTACAATTTTGAGGATATCTGCTCTCAAAATGAAGATTTCCAGACCCTTATCGGTAAGTTGGTAATTTTCGGAACGGACGCAAATAACTGCAAAATGTGCCGATCTTTTGTCAATATTTTCACAATTTCGCGCCCAATTCCAAAGAAAATTTCGTTTCTGGGTAATTTTATGATCCTCTTTCCATTGGTGATATCAGATTTTCGAAATTTTACCGATTTTTTGAGAAAGCGAACTTTGGTCACGCGCGAACTTTGGTCACACAGCCATACTTTTCTCCCCCGGGCCGATGGCCCTCGGGAGAATAGTACTAGTTGATGTTCCTTCGATGCGAATAGTTTCAGCTAGATCCTCGAGTGTCATTGTATATTTGTGTATTATATATATCTGTTTGCCTATTTACCAATCTTTAATTTCCATCTCATCATCATTCTCCGTTTCTCTCTCTCTCTCTCTCTCTCTCTCTCTCTCTCTCTCAACCTCTCTACCTATATTTTATGAATCTCGATCTCTGCCTATTTAACAATCTTTAATTTCCCTCTCATCATCATTCTCCCTTTCTCTCTCCCCCTCTCTCTTTCTCTCTCTCTCTCTCTCTCTCTCAACCTCTCTACCTATATTTTATAAATCTCGATCTCTGCCTATTTAACAATCTTTAATTTCCCTCTCATCATCATTCTCCCTTTCTCTCTCCCCCTCTCTCTTTCTCTCTCTCTCTCTCTCTCTCTCTCTCTCGCTCTCAACCTCTCTACCTATATTTTATAAATCTCGATCTCTGCCTATTTAACAATCTTTAATTTCCCTCTCATCATCATTCTCCCTTTCTCTCTCTCTCTCTCTCTCTCTCAACCTCTCTACGTATATTTTATGAATCTCGATCTCTGCCTATTTAACAATCTTTAATTTCCCTCTCATCATCATTCTCCCTTTCTCTCTCCCCCTCTCTCTTTCTCTCTCTCTCTCTCTCTCTCTCAACCTCTCTACCTATATTTTATAAATCTCGATCTCTGCCTATTTAACAATCTTTAATAATCCCTCTCATCATCATTCTCCCTTTCTCTCTCTCCCTCTCTCTTTCTCTCTCTCTCTCTCTCTCAACCTCTCTACCTATATTTTATAAATCTCGATCTCTGCCTATTTAACAATCTTTAATTTCCCTCTCATCATCATTCTCCCTTTCTCTCTCTCCCTCTCTCTTTCTCCCTCTCTCTCTCTCTCTCTCTCTCTCTCTCTCAAAACCTCTCCTCCCTTTCTCTCCTACCTCTCTCTCCTCCCTTTCTCTTCCCATTTGATACGAACATTCAAACATGTAAAAAAAACACTTAAAGGTGACATTCAAAGAAAATCACAAATATGTCAACTAAATGTATCACTAGAAACTGGTATTCAAGTATTCAAGTATTCAATTTTATTTCACATCTCTTTAAAAAAACACATTAAAAGATATACAAACAAATCATCATTTAAAACAATATAAATACATACAAAAAACATTCATTTACATTGTACTGATGAAATAAGGATGAAGGGTGGAGGATGTGGGGGATCAACAAAGGCCATTGGCCTGTCAAGGTTGATCCCCTATATTTCCACCCTTCAAGAGAAATACATTATACAAAATATAAAAAATAAAAACAATCAAACAAACAGATAATATAACATAGCATAATCACATAAAAAACACAACATAATTATTTACATAAATCACATAAAAGGCAATTAGATCAAATAAAACTACTCACAGTTAAGAAGATAACATTTATATTTTTTCCTGAATGTAAAAACAGTGGATATTTCTTTTAATACGTTTGGCAACTCATTCCAAAGCTGTGGGCCTTTAAAACTTACTGTAGTTCTTGAAAAGTTAAAAATATAAAAAGGTACATACATTTTATTGGAATTTCTTGTTTTATATTTATTGATGTTGCAATTATATTCGAAATAGTCATGAAAGTTATTGGGCAATAGTTGTTTAGAGTAAGAAAACATAAACGCTGCTAGTTGTAATTTATTTATATCAAATATATTCAATATTTTTAACTTTTTAAATAATTGTTGGGTATGTGCTAAATAGTTTGATTTGGTAATTGCTCGTATTGCACGTTTCTGTAGTAAAAACAATTTTTGTGATAAATAAAATGAGCAACGCCCCATACAATATTAGAATACATAAAATGTGATAGAATCATACAGTTATACAAATTTGTTAAAATCTTCAGTGGTAAAATGTGTTTTAAAATATTAAAGACTCCAATGGATTTAGATATTTTTAAAGCAATGTAATTAACATGTTCCTTCCAGTTCAAATTTTCGTCAATGATTACTCCAAGAAATTTAGTACTGGTTTCTCTCTTTATACTTAGATCATTAAGTTCAATATTTATTACATTATCTTGTATTCTACAATTCCTACTCTTAAATATCATATAACATGTTTTATCGCGATTAATGTAGAGTTTATTGGCTGTAAACCAAGTTTGTATGCTTTTCATTTCTGAATTAAATAGATTACAGATGGCCATCGTACAAGCTTTAGGTCAACTACATAATCGGGTGATTTATAAAAAATACAAATACAAGCACCTCCATATAGCAGCTGGGATATACGAGAGATTCGCCGGAAAAAAAATAACGATGTTTGATGTCACTATATGGACCAATACTGCCCAAGCAGACGACATCCCATAAAGAATGAACATAATTGCAAAGCTATTATTTGTTAAATCATAATGAGTGTAGTGTATATAAAATATGTAATGGCATGTCAAACCATTCAAAAGGGGATATGACCCGATTCTGATGACTAAAATCTTTTGCTTGTAAATACACAGAATAGGGGTTAATTAACAATCAAAGAAACCAGACTTTCAAATTGACCCCCCCCCCCCCCGAAATGATACTAAGGACGGCATGTGTTCCCTCTTAGAACGCCGAACATACCGGGGTGTGTGCAGCTGAATATACAATGGCGTCTTATTTTGTTTACAAGTGACAGATTCCTTTATTTTTGTATCGCTGCATTTGTCATCAAAATAAAACCATGCGCGGGGTTTAGAGTGATGCAATAGATTATACATTTAGCCTGACGGTAGTGAAGTAAGAGAAAGAACTCAAGAGAAGATGAAAACACAGGCACTCAATGTGTGAGATGTCATGGGACATCGTCTGCTTGTGCAAATCATGTCCATACTGTGATCTCACACATCTCAGCAGCGTTCGGAGAGCTCTTCAGGTGCTATGCCGGGGCTGTATTTAAGCGTTTTGTAATTTATAATAATCAATACTTCGAATGTTTTCAAGCATTGAATTTTGATAACCTTGTCGAATCAAAGTTTCAACTTTGCAATAATGAACATAAAATTAGTTATTAAATTCAATGAATATCTACTTTAAATGATCGAGGATCTGAATAGTTATATAATTAATCAAATTTAAATGTCAAGGTATTTCATACTTCCTTGAACGAGCAAAGATGACTAAATCGGTTCGAAATCGTATAGGGGCGTCAGACCAGTAGTGCGATTGTGTACGATTCTGACTTGAAGAGTTCAATGCACTAACATTCCGGTTATCATTATTTTTACATTTATTTAGAAGTTCAAGAAGGAAGATGATGTTTGTTTAAATTTTCTATCTAATCGCCATTTTTTGTTTTGACGTTTTTATCATCGTGAAAAATGTATAACCAGACTGAAACTGAATACAATATCATAAATATACAAATTATCACAATATTAATAGATACGTGGTGAAACACTCAAGGCATAATCATTTTTAGGATACATGTGCTTGTTTCCATGCAGGTAGTAATATAAAAAACAATTTTCGTGCTTTCACAAGATGCCTTTTCAAATCGTCGACGTATCTAACCATCAGTGAAAAATCCTGGTTGAGATTATACGTATCATTCAAATGAATATAAAAATAGTAAAATCAAGTTATTTTCTTTTGGGTGTGTAAATTCCACGTTTGGCGTTTCTTGTGTATCATGAATTGATCATGTTTTAAAATAATGTTAACTTTATGCGTGATTTGCGGGAAAGAAACTTAGGCATACTAAGGGGCAACCATTAAGATACACAACCATTTTTACATTATACACAGTAAAAACGCTGTTTAAAAAAGTGATGTTCACTTACAGTTGTACACTATCTTAAACAACAGTTGATCAAATTGTAAACAATGTTGCTCGAAACAGAAGTAATTTTGTTAAACATTCGTTGTTTAAAATTTAATGACTGCTATATTTACTATACGAGAGCTTTTAGACAGTGTTGTTTACATATGACGTCATGTGCGTGTTGGCTAAAGGCTTTATTTCACATTGTTATGTTTAGAAACAGGTTCCTTGAAACTAACATGCAATTGAAATTGACATGCCACTTAGAAATGCAGTGCAGCTGTTAAGGCACAGCTCATTGTTATTCATATTAGATGCATACACACAATGCAAGTGTATGCAAGGGTCTTTTGCTGACTACACAGATTGATACATATGTAAAAGCACATGGACATTGAGTCTGGATTAAACTACCAAAGCAACCACACGTGTTTCTGCAGGCTCCATTTTGTTTGTCTCTATACTTACATTTATTTAGCTTAATAGTTATTACTTTCCAACCCACAACACAACATCATGGCCGACCAAGCTACCGACGCGCTTCTAAGTGACTGGGGATTCAATGGCTTAATTGAAATCACTTTTCTATTAACTACTTTGAAGTTTTTAGCGTAAGTTCACAGTTAAAATTTTCGGTATCTGTACGCAAATGTCAGAATACAGGTAGACTTAAAATCGTCGCGTCATGCAGTGCGGCACTGATCGCGCACTCGGTTATAACGTGTGCTAAATTCCTTGCCATAGGGATTGCATGCATCCCTATATTATGCAGTTTATACGTGCGTGCATGCGCGCTCATGTTTTGGCGCTAATTCATGAATTGCAGAATTACCCTAGTCTTCATATACCTATATAGAGACCCAGAAGTAGTGGTGCACTTATTCAGAGTATCAAACCCAAATTATACCCCATTATACAACCCTTTTGTTGTAAACAACCCCCACTGAACAACAGCTCCTTTTTAAACAACTTTCTTTAAACAACCCAGTAGTTTAAACAACCCCAACTGAACAACAGCTCCATTTTAAACAACTTTCTTTAAGCAACCCAGTTGGTGTAAACAACCCCCACTGAACAACAGCTTCTTTTTAAACAACTTTCTTTAAACAACCCAGTTGGTGTAAACAACCCCCACTGAACAACAGCTCCGTTTTAAAACAACTTTCTTTAAACAACCCAGTTGGTGTAAACAACCCCCACTGAACAACAGCTCCTTTTTAAACAACTTTCTTTAAACAACCCAGTTGGTGTAAACAACCTCCACTGAACAACAGCTCCGTTTTAAACAACCGTCTTTAAACAACACCGGTTGTTTAAATTGTGATTTTAAACAAGTTGTTCAAAATGTTGATCAACTAAGTGTTTAAACTTTAAACAACTCGAGTTGCTTAACATTTTAAACAACTCTTAGATCAGGTCACCCGTTAATCAAGAGTTTTTAAACTTTTAAACAACTTGTTCACAAAAATTTTAACTGTGTATAGCAATGAAAGACGTATGTCAGATATTACCTTAGAACAAGTTTTATTACTGACATTGTCATGAAAGGTCCTTTCTATGCAGTTGCGTAGATCAGTGGCGGATCCAGGGAGGGAAAAAACAGGTAAAAAACACGTTAATTTTACCTTTATTTGGTGACGGGCCCCCTCCCCTGGGCCTCAAGGGGGGGGGGGGGGGTGGTGCGGATTTTTCAAATTTTCGGGGGCAAAAAAAAAGTGCTCCTTACTTTAATCCCCCCCCCTCCCCGCTTATTCACCGGCTGGCTGTTTCGCCACTAAATATTTTCTCACGAATTGGTCCCCCTCTTTGGCCCCCTTCCCTGCCGCCGGCTGGATCCGCCCCTAGCGTAGATATAGGGGTAATCACTGTTTTATACGTATAGTAACTAGGTGTTTTCCTTATATTTTCCTTCTCTTATTTTGTATGACACTAAACTAAAATGTTAAAAGGATATTCGAGCAATTTTTAAAAATTGCCTCCTTCGACGAAAATGTACCCATACGCGTAATATCATTGTTTGGGTTGTTATACCTGACTGCTAAGAAAGCATGATTGTGTATAATTATGTTTGTCAGTTAGCCCCTAGGAGACGGACGGCTTTAATTCCCGAGGGACTTGGTAAAGAATGCCTTGCCAACCCCCCCCCCCCTCCCCCCCCCCCCCCCCCC